GGCCCCGCACGCGCGGCTCCCAGATGGGAAGCGAGCGGAGAAGGGCAGCGTGTTATTAAAATGTGTTGAGTTGTAATAATCCGAGGGGGTGGCAGCTATTTTAGACACCACCGCCGCGGCGAGGGGCTGCCGAGGGCACCGCGCTGGGGGGTGGGCTGGGGAGGAGACCCCCATTTTCCCCTCCCTCCCTTTATCCAACAGGTTGTCTACTACACGGAGATGCACAAGATTTTTGGGGACCTGACGGCGCAGATCGACCGGCCCGGGCTGAGCGATGAGCAGCGGGAGCGGGAGAACGACGCCAAGCTCAGCGAGCTCCGGGCGCTCTCCATCGTGGCTGACGACTGAGGCCAGGCTGGGGGTGGGGAGGGGATGGGGATCCCCCCCTGTCACCCCAGCTCCCCCCCAGGGATGGACTCGTGGGGCTGGAGCTGCTCCTGTCGCCCCACAGCTCTGCATCGTCTTTGTCGGTCCACAGATGAGTTTTGCCTTAAATTTTGGGGTGTGGAGGAGCAGGGAAAGGAGCGATCCCGCACGGACAAAGGTGGGGATTGGGATGTGGGGTGCTGGTTTGCCCAGGTTCCAGCCCCCCTTTGCACCCCCACAGCCCAGAGGGTGAGACCCCCCCACTCCTTCCCCTCATTTTGTGCCTTAGTAGCCCAGTGGTCCCCTCAGGGTGGGTAAAATCACTCAAATCCCGTTTTTTGAGGTGCAGGGAGAGGGTGATGCTTCCCGTGGCGAGCATCCATCCCTCTTTTCCCAGGAAAGAGCTCTTTTCCCTCTTTTCCCCCAGAGCTGGGGGGTGCAGGGTGGGGACAGGGGACCCCAGCGCAGGGACAGGTGGGGGACATCCCTAAGGAAGCAAACCTATGGAAAACTGGGGGGCTTCAGCCCCTCCTCGGTGTGCGGGGAAGGGCCGCAGGGACTCGCTGGCTTGTCCCCAATAAAAGTTTTGGCAGCGCAGCGCGGCCGGGGCCATGTCGGTGCCACCGCTGGGGCTGTGCTGGTGTCACTGTCACCACCAGGTCCATGCCGCTGTCACCACCGGGTCCGTGCTAGTGTCGCTGTCACTGCCAGGGCCATGCCAGTGCCACCGCTGGGGCCATGTCGGTGTTGCTGTTACCACCAGGGCCGTGTCAGTGTCACCACCGGGTCCGTGCCAGTGCTGGTGTCACCGCCGGGGCTGTGTCGCTGTCACCACCAGGGCTGTGCTGGTGTCACCGTGCCAGTGTCACCGTGCCAGTGTCACCGTGCCAGTGTCGCTGTCACTGTCACTGCCGGGGCTGTGCCGGTGTCACCATGCCGGTGTCAGTGCCAGTGTCGCTGTCACCGTGCCGGTGTCACCGTGCTGGTGTCGCTGTCCCCGCCGGGGCCATGTCGCTGTCACCGTGCTGGTGTCGCTGTCACTGTGCCGGTGTCACCGTGCCGGTGTCGCTGTCCCCGCTGGGGCCGTGTCGCTGTCACCGTGACGGTGTCGCTGTCACCGTGCAGGTGTCACTGTCGCTGTCACCGCCAGGCCGCTGTTGCTGTCACCGTGCCAGTGTCACCATGCCAGTGTCACTGTCGCTGTCACCGTGCCGGTGTCTCCATGCCGGTGTCACTGTCACTGCTGGGGCTGTGTCACTGTCACCATGCCGGTGTCACCGTGCCGGTGTCGCTGTCGCTGTGCCGGTGTTTCCGTGCCGGTGTAGCTGTCACCGTGTCGCTGTCACTGTGCCACTGTCACTGTCACCGTGCCGGTGTCACCGTGTCGCTGTCACTGTCACCGTGCCAGTGTCGCTGTCGCTGTGCCGGTGTTTCCGTGCCGGTGTAGCTGTCACCGTGTCGCTGTGCCACTGTCACTGTCACCATGCCAGTGTCACCGTGCCAGTGTTTCCGTGCCAGTGTCGCTGTCACCGTGCCGGTGTCGCTGTCACCGTGTCGCTGTCGCTGTGCCGGTGTCACTGTCACCGTGCCGGTGTCACTGTCACTGTCACCGTGCCAGTGTCACCGTGCCGGTGTTGCTGTCACCGTGCCGGTGTCACTGTGCCGGTGTAGCTGTCACTGTGCCGGTGTTTCTGTGCCACTGTCACTGTCACCATGCCAGTGTCACCGTGCCGGTGTCAGTGTCACCGTGTCGCTGTCACCGTGCCGGTGTCTCCGTGCCGGTGTCTCTGTCGCTGTCACCGTGCCGGTGTCACCGTGCCGGTGCCGCTGTCCCTGTCACTGTGTCGCTGTCACTGTGCCGGTGTCACTGTCGCTGTCACCGCCGGGCCGCTGTCGCCCTCTGCCGCCGCCCGGCCGCCACTGCAGGTGTCGCGGGGCGCTCGGGCTGTCCCGCGGGGGGAGAAGCGGGTTGAACATCCCGGTGGAGGCGGGAAGGAAGCGGCGTCAGAGCCGAGGAACGGAGGGTTCGGCACCGGAGAAGCTTCTCGGCCCGAGCTGGCCCCGGGAAGGCTGTGTCCTGGGGGGAGCAGCCGCTGCTCGGGGTAAGGGGTTGGAAGCCCACCCTGGTGACGTTCCGTGGGGATGATGAAGGTCCCTTCGAGGCTCCCGCTGCTCCGGGTACCAGGGAAAGCATCACCAGCTCTGCCCAGCAGGACCTGGCTCCGGCAAACCTGCAGGAGATGGGGAACGGTGCTCAGGGGTGTCCTGGGAAGCCCAGCAGGAAATGGGGATGGAACCCCCAAAACCAAACCTTCCCTTCCCAGCTGGTGCAAGGGGATGGAGCAGAGCTGTGAGAATGCTGGTGGCTGTCCCCAGTGCAGGGACACGGCCAGGTCCCCCCAAGAGCGTCCCGGGCCGAGGCTCCTCCCCAGCTCTCAGCATGGAGAACTTCATCCCTCCCTCTCCCCTTGGCTGTTCCTTCCCAACCACATCACATGCCAGGCCAGCTTTAAGCAAAATAAACCCCGTTGCCACAGTTACCCAGAGCAGGGATGCTAAATATACAGGATATAGATATTTTTATATATATTTAACTGCCATGCACAGAGCCCGAGAAAGGGACACGCTCCCCCACGGGATCTGAGCCCTGCAGGCCCCAGTGTGGCTCCCAGATGGGCACAGATCCCTCTGTGGCCTGGATTCCTGCCCGGATTCGCCCCTCTGGGCTCACCTGAACCCACCTGGTGGCTTTGTCTGTGTCGCTGTCACCCTGTGTGGCACAGCCAGACCTCCTCTCCTGCGCTGCGAGCATCCCCAAATCGCAGCTCCTGGTCCTGCCATCAGCTCCTCCTGCCCTGCCAGCACTCAGCAGAAGGATGTCACCCATGGAAACTTGAAGCCAGGCGTTCCCAGGGATTCACTCTGCCTACTCTCCGCAGTGGTTGGGGAGGAAAATTCCATCTTTGATAGTAAAAAGTGGATAATTAGCGGGTTTTGCACCGCCCACAAGATCCCAGCGCTAATAGGGGGAGCTGGCAGGAAGGGAGAACTCGCTCCACCATGAGGAATGTGGCTGAGGCACCCCTGGGTGAGGTTCATCGGCACTCAGACCCCCAGGAGGGAAGGGAAGGATCCCCCAGAGGATCCGTGAGTGGCAGTGGGGCCGGCCCAGCATGGGGAGCGTTCCCTGCTGATGAGCAAATCCTCCTTTTTCCTCCCCGCCAGGAATTCCGGGTTGGCTCAGTGGCGTTGCAGCCATCCCAACTGTCCCCCTCCCTCCCCAAATCTCGGACAGGTTTAGCAGGTGCCAGCCCAGCACCAATCCCAGGGATTTTCCTCACAAATAGGATGAATTAACCCCAGCGCACATTTGCATCCACACCTTGATTTTCCTTGTCGGATGCTCGGGAGCTTCCTCCCTGTTCCAGGTGATTCGGGGGTGCTGGGGTGGGACAGAGAGGCTCAGATCTCCTTCCTCCTCCTCACCTGGGTCCTGGAAGGAGAATCAGCATCCCCTGGGCCAGCCTCAGCAACTCCCTTGGGATCAGCCACTGGGATTCAGCGGGGTCCCGGGGCAGGGGGAAGATGGAGGTGGCAGGGGAGGGGGTGCCCAGACCCCCACCCCACACCGGGAGCACCCAGCCGGGTCCTTCCCCACCTCCCCGAGCCCCTCCCCATTGCTCCTCACCCTGGGGGGCTCAGGAGAGCAGAGAGGGGGAGATGGGAAAGGGTTTGGTGCTGGAAAGTGGGGGGACAAGGATAAAACACACACATCCCCCCCAGCTGTGCTCCAAAAACCCTTCAGCACCCCCGGGCAGGCTGTGACCCAGCCGGGGGGCGCTGCCAGGGACCCCCCCTGCCCCCCAGGCCCTGCCGTGAGGGTGGGCACGGCGGGGACGAGCACTCACGGTTCCCGGGGGGGATGCAGGACGATGTCCCCAGGCTGGGAGCGGTGCGGGATTCACCGCTGCGAAGGAAAAAACTCCCAAGTGGCGGTAGGAAATCGGCAGGAAAGGGGGAAGAGGGAGGGATAACGGGATACCCGACGGGAGAGCGCCTGGCCGGGGCTCGGGGCAGCATCTTCCTCACCTGCGGCACCGGCGACACCGGGAGGGGCTCCAGCAGCGCCAGAACAGCATCGAACCCCCTCCTCAGCCTCCTCACCCACCCCCCAAACTGCGGAGGGCCCCCGGAGAATGCAGCGATGCTCCCGGGAGCATCATCGACCCCCGGCGCCCCCTCCCCACCAACCCCCGGGGGGAGGACGAGCTTTGCCCCCCGCCCCGGGACCCCTCCGGAGCCCTCGGGAGCCGCTCGGTCCATCCGTGGCTCCGGAGCCCCGCGGGACAAAAGGGGCGGAAAAAGCCGCGGGAAATGATGCGGCGGTGACGCGTCCCGGTGTGACGTCACGGCGGGTTTTTGGGGTGTGACGTCACGGCGCGGCAGCAAGCAAGCACCTGGCTAAGAGCCGCCTCTTCATCGCTGAAAATGCTTTATTGGGGGAAATGAAAAAATCTGGAGGGGGTGCGCCAGGCTGGGGGCCGGCCCCGCGCTGGCGTGACGTCATAGCGTGAGGCGTGACGTCATTCCTCCATCCCGGTGCGGCGGTGGGAGCGGGTCCTCCCCCCCCGGTGCTACCGGCACCGGCTGCCCCGCAGGGAGCGGCGGGTCAGGCGGGTGAGCAGCACCTTCACCCGGGCCCAGTGCGAGCGGCCGTCCTGCCGGGAGAGCCGCGTCAGGGGGGGGTCCCGGGGGGCGCCCCGCCACCCCCCGAGCCCCCCCAGCCTTACCGTGTCCGGTACCGGGACCCCCGGCCCGCCCTCGGAGGGGTCCAGCAGGTTGGGGGAGCTGAGCGAGTGTCCCCCCAGCCTGCGGCACGGCCCGGGCTCGGCTGCTGCAAGGGGGGAACGGAGCTGGTTAAATTTAAGGGCTGGGGGGCATCGTGCCCCCTCAGCTGGCACCAGGTCCCGCCGTGCCCGCATCTCCCGGTGCCATCGCTCCCGAGTTCACCTGGCGCTTGGCTGTCGGAGCAGGAGCGCGGCCGGAACCCCGAACCCCTCCAGGGGCCCGAATCCTGCCTCGGGGGCTGCGGGCGAGGAGAACACGGGCAGGTGTGAGAGCTGGGACCCCCGCACCCCCTCCTCCCCGCCAAACCCCCTCCTCCCGACCCTCACCAGGCTGCGGGCACCGCGGGCTCCGGCCGCCCGCTGCCGCAGGGCGCGGTTGTCCTGCTGCAGCCTCGCCAGGCGCTCCAGCAGCTGGCACACCTGCTCCAGGTAGCGCAGCCCCTGCCCTGGCACCGCGGTCTGGGGGTCCCGAGGCGGCCGAAGCCCCTCGGGGTCCCCGGGGGGCTCTGCGGGCTCGGCGGCGCTGGCGCTGCGCTGGCAGCGCTGCCTCCTGCTCCTCTGCCCTGCCTGCAGCATCCTCCGGCCGGCCGAGCGGCTCCGGGCGGGTCTGGGGGGCTCCTTCTTCCCGGGGGGCTCCTCCTTCCCGGGGGGCTCCTCCTCGGGGGGCTTCTCCCCCAGGAAACCCTCCAGGCAGAAGCTGCTCTCGGAGCCCAGCGGGGTACACGGTGAGTGCTCGTTGCTGGCCATCTCCACGCCGGAATCCTCGGACTCGGATTTGAGGAGCCTCCCGCCGGCCGGGGGGCTGCCGGGGGGCTGCGGTGGTGCCGGGGGGGGTCCCCCGGTGCTCATTCCCCGCGGGCTCTCCTGCAGCCGCCGGTAGACGCTGGCGGAGGTGCGCACGATGCAGCTCTCGGCCGACTCCCAGGGACCATCTGTGGGGGAATAGAGGACGAGTGGGCGCAACTGGGGGTCCCTGGGAAGAAAAGTGGATGCCCACCACCCTTCCAAGCCCCCTGCAGCAGCTCCAGCCGTGCCCAAGGCCGTTCTCCCCCCTGCCCAGCAGCTGGGAATACTCTCCTACAAGCCCGGTGTGTTGTCGCTGCTCCCCAAAAACACAGCCCGGCCTTCACCATCCTCCTCCTCCCAAGCTGATCTGCTGGGGGGGCACCCACGGCCCCCAGCCTGACTTGGTTTTTGAGCCAGGCTCTTCCATATCCCACTCCAGCACAGCGCCAGCAGCCCAGGCCACAGCCCGGCCGTGGGATCCCGGACCTGGGATGGCTCCAGGGACCACCAGCTCCGCACTTGTGCCCATGGGATGGGTGGCACCGCCAGCCGGGTGTGCCCCCAGCACCCCGCAGCTCCCGGTGGGATCGTCTGGGCATTGCTTGCCCGGCGCTCTCTCCCTTCCCAGCCGTGCCGCGGGCTCAGGGAGGTGACAGCGGAGCTTGATTTTCCTTTAGGGGTTTTTCCCACCCCCTAAAACCCCCCTCGGGGTGGGCTTGAACCCCCCTCGAACGCACTCACAGCAGCTGCACCTCCTCTTCCAGACGGCGCGGGAGCCACCCCACATGGCCGAGAGCCGGAGCCGAGTGCCGGGGGCCCGTCCCGGCGCTCCCTTTATAGCCGGGCTCTGCATCCTCGCTGCAGGACCGGTTCCCAACTGGTTCCTCGCAGGGCTTGGGATCGGCGCTACTGGCTGGGCCGGTGGTTAAGGAGTCCCTTCCCACCCCAGCTGGGAAGGCGAGAGGGTTGTTCGGGCGGCGGAGGCAGCCCAGTGCCGCCCGCATCCCCCCGAATTCCACAAAACTCACTCAGGGCTCCTCCGTGCTTGGAATTCACCGGCCGGGGGTGCCTGTGCCCCCAAATTCCTGCCCCTCCTGCAGCCGCGCATCCCTCGGGGGCTGGAGAGGCCGAGGGGAGCCGGGGAGCCCCGGGCCAATCCCGGGACAATCCCGGGCCAATCCGGCCCTTCAGTGGGATTGAATGCCAGCAATGCCGGCAGCAGCCCGCCCGCCCCGGCAGGATTGAATCCCAGGAATTCCGGGGGGCACCGCAGCTCCATCCCAGAGCGTCCCACACGCTGCAATTCCACAGGCTCCGGGTCCCCTCGTGCCAGGGAACCGCTGGCCCCGCCACCACGGGGGTGTCACCGGAGCCCCACCGGTGTGGGGGGCACTGGCAGGGCGAGAAGGGGTCTGGGGGTCCCCATCAGCTCCTCCTGGGGGTGCCCCCTGCGTTGGCAGCTCAGTCCCCCTGGGTTTTGGGGACCCCCCCCCCCCGCATTTGGGGACCGGCACCGGCCCATCAGCCCCAACATGGGAAGGGAAAATCTGAATTTCCAGCGCAGCCGGTAGCCTGGGCCCCTCCCGGCAAGGAGGGGGATGGAAAATCGGGGCTCCAGGGACCCCCTGGAGCACAAATTGGGGGTTCCAGGGAACCCCCGGAGCACAAATTGGGGGTTCCAGGGAACCCCTGGAGCACAAATTGGGGGTTCCAGGGAAGCCCTGGAGCACAAATTGGGGGTTCCAGGGACACCCCAGAGCACAAATTGGGGGTTCCAGGGACCCCCCAGGTCCCTTCTCGAGCACAAACACAGATTAGGGCTCCAAGGACCCCCGGGGTCCCGTCACCTCAAAACAGAGATCCCCGAGGGTCCTGGAGACCCCGAGGGACCCAGGCCAGGGCCGGGGGGACCCCCATAGCCCCGGGACCACCGACTCACCGACTCACCGCGGAGCGGCTGCACCGGGAACGCTCCGCGGTGGTGCAGCATCCTCGGGATGTCCCGGGAGCGAGGGGGTAAAACCGGGAACGGGGAGCTGGGAACCGGGCGGTGAGCACCGGGAACCGGGCAGGGAGCACCGGGAACCGGGCAGGGAGCACCGGGAACCGGGCGGTGAGCACCGGGAACCGGGCCGGGAGCTCCGGGAGCGGGGCGGGGAGCACCGGGAGTGGGGCAGGGAGCACCGGGAACCGGGCCGGGAGCACGGGGAGCGGGCCGGGAGCACCGGGAGCGGGGCGGGGAGCTCCGGGAACCGGGGCAAGGAGCACCGGGGAGCATCGGGAACCGAGCCGGGAGCACCGGGAGCCGCTCCTCCGCCGCTTTTTGGGGCAGGGCCGGGGGGCGGCACGGCCCCGGGGCGGGACGGGGCGGGCCGCCCCCTGCCCAGGCAGCACCTGCGCCCCCAGCCCCAGCTGTGTTATCCCAGGTGGGCTCAAAGCGTTTATTTCTCTTTTTTTTCCCGTGTGGAGAGAGGGGGGAGAAGGGCAGGACCATCATCATCATCATCATCATCATCATCATCATCATCATCATCATCATCCCTGGGTGTCACAGAGCCGGGGAGTGGTTGGGTTGGGAAGGGACCTTCAAGGCCACCCAGGTGCCACCCCTGCCATGGCAGGGACACCTTCCGCCATCCCGCGCTGCTCCAGCCCCGTCCAGCCGGGCCTTGGGCACTGCCAGGGATCCGGGGCAGCCCCAGCTGCTCTGGGACGATTATTGGGAATTCGGTGATGGGATTTCCATGGTGAGGGGCTCACGGGAGGCTGTGGCACACCCCAAACAGAGCCCGGTGAGCCCCCAGGAGGAGCGGAGGGGGGTCCTGGCTGTCCCTGCTGCAGAGGGACAGGGGAAGGGGCAGCTCACACCCGGGCCGCTGATAACAGCAGAGCGCAGATAACAGCGCAGCCATCCCCGTGCGGGCGATAAGAGCACCCGGAGCAGGACAAAGGCCTCGGCCAACAGCCCCCAATAAACCCGGACACTCCCAGGGAGGCGGGGAGCGGCTCTCCAGCCCTGCGGGCAGCCCTGACCTTCCCGCAGCAGGACAAGGAGCGGCACCGGAGCATCAGGACCCCCACCCGGCTGCAGGAAGGAGGGCTGAGGGGTCACCCTCAGGTTTGGGGTTGAACCCTCCTTCTCCCTGCCCTGGGGTTCCCGGCACAGAGCAGTCACGGCAGTGGAGCAAATATATATTATATTTAAAGATAATCTGCTTTAATTCCTCGGAGAAGCCCTTTGCAGTCCGTGCACAAGCGGTGCCAGCCCCTCTCCGGTGCCCAAGTGCTCAAGCCACCCCGCTCCCAATGTCACCCAGGCTGAGAACTCACCCAGCTCATCCCACCCACCCCCACCCCCAAATCCCGTCCATCCCCAGCCTGGCAGCGCCCCCAGCCCCCCAACCCGGCCCTAGGGTGGGGTGGGATCGCCCCGGGGGTCCGGGGGATGCTCCCGGGGGATGTTCCCGGGGGTCCGGGGGATGCTCCCGGGGGATGTTCCCGGGGGTCCGGGGGATGCTCCCGGGGGATGCCCACGGGAGATGCTCACGGGGGATGCGGGGGTGACCCCACCGCGCGGTGCCGGGGCTCAGGAGCGGGGGGACACGGGCCGGGACACGGGTGTCCCCGGGGGTCCCCGGTAGCGCAGGCGCGCGTGTTTCTCGCAGAACAGCTCGTCCCCCACCCAGAAGTGGCCGCGCATCTTCAGGCTGAGGCCGCAGTCGGCGCAGGTGTAGCAGGACGGGTGGCGGTAGCGGCCGTCCTGGATCCGCACCGCCTGTGTCCTGCGGGGTTGGGGACAGGGGGTCAGCCGTGTGTCCCCAGGGTCCCCTCCCACCCGCCCTCAGCCCCACCGTGGGCTCGGAGCCATGGCAGGGATGGATCCTGCCCTGGCCCCACTCCCAGCCCAGACCGCCCCCATTTTCACTCGGAAGGAGCAATGGCAGGGATGGATCCTGCCCTGGGGTCCCCGGACCCCCAGCCCCATTTCCACCCCTCCAGCAGTGACAGCCGGGGTGGATCCTGCCCCGGGACCTGCCCCACGCACACGCAGGATTATTTTATCCCCGCGGGAGCAATGTCAGGGACAGACCCGCCCCGGGCCACCCCCGCGCCGGGGAGCAGCCCCTTTTTGGCTTTGCCAGGAGGGATGGCAGGGGCGGACGACCCCCGGGACCCCCCCAGACCCCCAGCCCCACTCACGCGATGCTGCTCCCGCACTTCTCACAGACGTGCAGCTTCTGCACCCCGGCCACGGGCTTGCGGGCCCCGGCCGAGAGGCGGCTGGGGAAGGGGGCTGCGGGACCTCCTGGGGGGACACGAGGCCATCAGGGTCCTGCCACCCCCGTTCAGGACCTCCCACCGCCCTTCGTGCCCCCCTCACCTCCCTCCTCGTCCTCCAGAGCCTCCTGGAGCAGGCGGAAGGTGCTGGATTGCCGCGGGGCCGCCCGCAGCTCCCGGTTCTCCTGCAGCATCTTGTAGACCTCCGAGTCCTCCTCCAAGCGCCTCATGGCCGGCTCCGAGCCCTGGCTGGGGGGCGCAGCCCGAGGGGAGGGTTTTGGGGGGGTTCCCAGCACCCCGATTCCGGGATCCACCCGGCTGCGCCCCACAACCCGTCCTCCACCGGCTCCCTCCGCCCCGGAGCTGCCCCAGCCTGCCCGGCCCTCCCACGGCCCCTCCTGCCTGCAGGTGACTTAACCCTTTCCACGGGCTCGCTCAGCACCCACGGGTGACAAACCCGCGTGGGGATATGGGGCTGGGGGCTTCTCTGCCATGGGGGTCCCCCCCTTACAGCCCCCGGCCCGCTCCGTACCTGTGGCAGGTGCCGGGAGAGGGGGAGGAGAGGCGCCTCTCCCTGAGGCTTTTCGGGGGGTCCCGGGGGGCTCCGGGCTCCGGTGAGGGTGGGCGGGGGGGTGGAGGCAGGACGGGGCCCCGGGAGCTGCTCCGGCGGCTCAGGGGTCGCTCCTGCCAGGGGGGAGAAGTGAGGGGTGTCCCGGGGGCTGGGGGTGCTCACAGACCCTCCCTCTGCCCCCAGGCACCCCAAGGACACCCGGAGCACCCCAAGGACACCCGGAGCACCCCAAGGACACCCGGAGCAGGCCCAGGGGCTTCCCCCAAGCTCAGATCTCCAGAGGGATGCTCCGTGGGGCAGCTGCTTCTCCTTCCCACCCAGGCTGGGCTCAGTGGGACCCCGCAGAGGGGTCAGGGCAGCACCCCCACCCCACAACCCAGCGGCATCACCCCTCCCCTCCCCTTTCCTCCATCTGCTCCTGCTCAGCGGCCCCGGCGAGGCCGGGAAGCGGAACCCCGGATAAGTGGAAGCCGATGTTCCCGGGAGCAGCTGCCGCGCAGATGGGAACGAATCCCCCGTGGGCACAGGGACCCCCTGCCTGGAGCCGTGGGGAGGGAAAGGGGCAGCACAGAGGCTCCGTGGGGTGAGGGATGAGCTAAAATTGGGCACGGGAGGAGCCGGGCCTTGGCCTCATCCCCGGCGGGGTGAGCGGGGGGATGCGGGACGGATCCCGGGGCCGCCACCCCCGGAGCACCGGGGCTCGGGTGGCAGCTCCGGGAGCGGCATCCTCGTGTCCCCAAGGCCGGGGCAGGGCTGGAGCCCGCGGGACAGGGAGGGACCCGCCGGAGCAGCCAAGGGGCGGCCGGGGCCGCGGCCAAAGGCAGCCGGGAAGGACCGCGGCGCTTCCCAATTTGGGCTTGAAAAACAAGAAAAAGAGAAAGCGGGGAGGGAGGAAAGGAGGGAGACGCCAAGAGCGGAGCCAGAGGCTGCCCGCAGGGAGGATGGGGCAGCCGCGGGCATCCTGGCACTGAGCTCGGGCTGGAGGGGGCATCTCGGGCATCCCCATCCCGCTGCCGGCGCATCCCCATCCCGCTGCCGGTGTCCCACCCGCTGCCGGTGTCCCACCCGGTGCCCCGGGCTGGCGGGAGCGGGGCTGGGCCTTCCCAAACTGGTTTGGCCTCCCCAGGCTGGCGCCGCTGCCAGGAGGAGCCAAACATCCCCGGGCAGGAGCGGCGGTGCCCGCGGGGCCGGGGAGGGGACACCGGCGGCACCCACGGGAGACGGGGACCCGGAGGGACGGCGGGGCTGGGGTGGGGGTGCAGAGAGAGGGATCTGGGGTGCAGAGGGAGGGATCTGGGGGTGCAGAGGGAGGGATCTGGGGGTGCAGAGGGAGGGATCTGGGGGCTCAGAGTGGGGTTGTTTGGGGGCTCAAAATGAGGTGGTTTTTGGCTCAAAGTGGGGGAAGGTTTAGCATTGCAAAGGGGTTCAAAGCAGGGTGGTTTGGGGCTTAAAAAGGGGTTTGGGGGTTCCGAGGGGGATGGTTTTAGGGTTCAAAAGGTTTTGGTGCACAGATGCCCCCCCAGCATCTCTGCCTGGCCCCTGCAGCCCCCCCAGCTCCCTGCTCACCTGGCAGAGGCTGGGACAGGTGAGCTCCTGCTCCAGGGGCTGTGAGCTGGGGGAGAGAACAGCGACATCAGGGGGGTCCCCGGCCCTCACCCCCAGCCCACCCCCAGCCCGGTGCAGCCTTACCTGGCACTGCCAGGCGGGTGGGTGAGGGATGCCAGGCTGGGCCCGGGGGTTCTGGGGGCACTCTGGGTCTCGCTCGGCATCCACAGCGTGTCCTGGGGAGGGGAGAGTGACACTGGCAGCTGCCACCAGCGCTGGCCGGGGGGCGTGGGGGGCGCGGGGGCTGCCCGGGGCTCACCTGGAAGCGCGTGGCCAACATCTCCGGCGAGGTGTCCCCGTTGGTGTGGCTGGGAGGTGGCACCGGGGCCCTGAGGGCCAGAGGAGGGCAGCAGGGTTTGGGATCTGCCCCAGGAGCCCAAAAGCGCTGGGCACAGCCCGCTGTGACCCTTCCCTGCCACCCTGGCGAGGCAGCAGCTGGGTCCCCAACTGGGACCAGTTGGCCAGGGAACAGCTGCCAGCGCTGCCTGGCATCGTTAGCACCCAACTCCTTTATTAGAGAGCCGGGACAGGCTCCTGCGGGGATGGCACCGCACCCAGAGTCACCGCGGGTGGGGAAGCAAGTGACAGACACGAGGTTGAGGACCCCAGCCCCGTGCAGACACCGCTGGCACCCAGGGCTGTGTGTCTGGGCTGCCCCAGCACCCACCTCTGCACCTCCCTGGCACCCAGGGCCTGGTGCCCAGGCTGCCCCAGCACCCACCTCTGCACCTCCCTGGCACCCAGGGCCGGGTGCCCAGGCTGCCCCAGCACCCACCTCTGCACCTCCCTGGGTGCCCGACCCACCCCAGCACCCACCTCTGCACCTCCCTGGGTGCTCAGCCTGCCCCAGCACCCACCTCTGCACCTCCCTGGGTGCCCGGGCTGCCCCAGCACCCACCTCTGCACCTCCCTGGGTGCCCGGGCTGCCCCAGCACCCACCTCTGCACCACCCTGGGTGCTCAGCCTGCCCCAGCACCCACCTCTGCACCTCCCTGGGTGCCCAGCCTGCCCCAGCACCCACCTCTGCACCTCCCTGGCACCCAGGCTGCCCCAGCACCCACCTCTGCACCTCCCTGGGTGCCCGGGCTGCCCCAGCACCCACCTCTGCACCTCCCTGGCACCCAGGGCAGGGTGCCTGACCCACCCCAGCACCCACCTCTGCACCTCCAGCCGGAGCTGCCCGGGGCTCTGCTTGATCTTGTTCTGCGCCTCCACGTTGAGCATCTCAGCCGTGCTCTCCCCATTGATGGTGACAATGACATCCCCCGGTCTCAGGTCACCCGTGGCCGCCTTCCCGTGCTCCGTCACCTCCGTGGAGAAGGGGACACGGGGCTGACAGCCCCGCTGACCCCCCCGTGCCCTGCAGCACCCCCAGAACCCCCAGAACCCCCCCCTGCCCTGCCAGAACAGCACCAACCCCTCTGCCAGGAGGGAACACGGCCTTGGAAACGACACCCGGAAATTTGGCCCAGCCCAGCCCAGCCCAGGGGCCACAGGAACCCCCCACCCCCACCCCACGCCGCCACCGGCAGCCGTGGGCCGTTCCCACGGAGCGGGATCCCCCACGGACGGCAAACAGGATCCGCTGCCCGGAGCAGCCCGGCCCGCCCGGAGCCCCGGCGGCTTCTCCGGGCCGGGGGGGGACACCCGGGGCTCCTACCTTGGAGACGGTGATGGGCTTCCCGAAATCTCTTCCCCCGGAGATGCGGAAGCCCCACGGGGCCGGGCCGGGCAGTGTCACTGTCACCGGCATGGCAGCAGCGGCTCTGGGCGGGCAGGAGCGAGGTGGCAGCGATCCGGGGGATGAGGCAGAGGGAACCCCCCTCCTCCTCCCCACAGACCACCCAGCGAGGGCCTCCTGTCCCCGCTGCACCCCGAGGGTCCCCAACCCGGCAGCGCTTTCCTTCCGGGGAGGGCAGCCAGGTCCTGGCAGGGTGGCACCAGCCACCGCCGCTTCCTCTTGTCCCCCGGGGCTGGCGGCTTCCTGCCCCGGGGCAGGGGGGTCCCAGCACCCGGAGGTGCCGCTGAGACAGCCAAGGTCGTTCCCGGGAGCTGGAGCAAGGCAGGAAATCGGGGACGCCTTGGCAGCAAGGCCAGCGCTGTGGCCTGGCACAGCCGAGCCAGCGGCGTTGGGAGGGGAGGATGTGGCAGGCAGGGACGGGTTCTGCTCGCCACAGCAGGATCGGCACCCAGAGAGGACCGGCAGCCTCAGTCCTTCATCCCACAGCAAATCCACACCGGGAAAGGGCGATGAGGGTCCCCCCGGGGGTGGCGCGGGGTCCCCATGGCACCCCGGTGAGCGGGGCAGCCCTTGGCTCCGATGGGATGGGTGGGGATGGGCAGCCGCACCCCCTAAATCCACACCAGATCCCATCCCACCCATCCCACCGGAGCCTGGGAGAGATGGGCAGCCCATCTGGAACCGGGCACCCCATCCGGCACCGGGCACCCCGTCCGGCACCGGGCACCCCATCTGGAACCGGGCACCCCATCTGGAACCGGGCACCCCATCCGGCACCGGGCACCCCATCCGGCACCGGGCACCCCATCCGGCACTGGGCACCCCGTCCGCAGCCGCCGGGAATGTTAAAAATCCCAAGAGCACAAAGAGGGGCTTGAGAGGCTGCCCGGAAGAATTTCCTGGGCTGGGCTTCCAGTGCCGGGAGGAAACCCCAAACCCCAAACCCCCTCCCCATGCCCAGCCCCGCTCAGCATCCCTGGGCAGTGAGGGGACCCCCATACCCAGCTGGGTACCCATCCCAGACCCCCCCCGACAGCCCTGCGCGTTTTCTCCGGACCCTGAACCCCTTTAGACACTGTCCCCGAGCTCTCCCTTGTGTCCCCTTCTCCTGCACCCCCTCCTCCATCCCTGCACCCCTTCTCCAGTCCCTGCACCCCCTCCTCCATCCCTGCACCCCTTCTCCAGTCCCTGCACCTCCCCTTCGTGTCCTGCGCCCCTTCTCCATCCCTGTCCCCGGCCCTGTCCGTGCTCCCCTGCTCCCCTCCTCGCCCCCCGCACCCCACGCGTGTCCCCGCTGCCCCCCGGCTCTGTCCCCGCCGCACAGCGACCTCTTTGTGCCCGCGGCGCCCGGTGGCACCGCCTGGCACCCGCGGGACGGGCGATGCCAGGACGCGCGGGGACGTGGGGACGCGGCGAGAATCCGGGCACGCGGGGACTTGGGGACACGGTGGCGGCGGGACCTGCCCGCACATCCCTCTGCACCCCCGGGCACCGCGACCCCCCGACGGACGGACACCCCCCGCGCCCCCCGCGCACTCACCGGGGCGGCCCCGCGGGGCTGCGGAGCCGAGCGCGGCCCCGGGACGGCGCCGCCTCCTCGGGAGGAGCCGGACCGGGCCGGGCCGGGCTACGGGAGCGACCCCCCCATCCCCACCCACCCCCGACCGGGCCCGCCCGTGGGCGTGGGGGGATCCCCGCGGCCCCACGCCGCGTCCTGCCGCCGCTCCCCGCCCCGCAGCTCCGGTGGGACGGGTCCCGGGAGCGGCTCCTCCCCAATCCCGGCGCTCTCAGAGTCGGGCTGAGCTGAGCTTTAATGACGGCAAAGAAGCGAAGGCGACTCCCGGACACGGCCCCACATCCCGGGCCGCGGCCGTCACGGTCAGACCCGGCACCGGACAGACCCCCGGGCGACCCCCGGGGCGGCGGCAGCGGGCAGCGGTGAGGAGGGGGCGGGTTCAGCCGCCCCGCGCTGGGGGGATTTGTCCCTGTTAGAAGCAGCCCCATAGGGGCGGGAGGAGCTGGGGGCGCTTCACCCCCGTGGGGGGACACGGCGGGGACACAGGGAAAGCCCCCGGCCCCACTCCTGCCCCCGGGGTCCCCCGTGGCCGCGGGTCACACCGGCGCCACGTAATTCCCGGGGAAAGTGCCGAATTTCTGCGTCCTCCTGGACACTCCTGCGGGTACAGAGACGCGGAGAGGCGGTGAGGGGTGAGGGTGGCACCTTGTCCTCATCCCTGTCCCCAAGGCGGTGGCCACGCACCCACGAACCAGCCGTCGTCGCATTGCTGCATGACATCCACCCGGTCCCCTTCCAGCAGCTCCAGCTCGTCGGCGTTTTGGGGCCGGTACTGGTAGAGCGCCCGGTACCTGCGAGACAAAGCGTGGGCAGAGCCCACCCCCACCCACGGTCCCTCGTGGGGACACCGCGCCCCGGGGACGCTCCCGGCGCTGCTTACGGGGTCCAGCGGATTTCGGAGCCGTTGTGGGACGGGGCGGGCTCGGGGCGGGCGCTGCTTTGTGCCGCGGGGCTCGGGCGCTGTGGGGGGACAGGGTGGGCTCAGGACGGCACCCCCAGCCCCAGCGCTGCGGGGCACGATGCCAGGGTGGGGGGCACTCACCTGCTCGGGGGTCCAGGCGGGACGCCAGGGCTCTCGGGGGTGGGCGACCGCAGAGTGTGGGGGGCTGGCAGGAGCCACCAAGGGGCTGGGGGTGCCAGCGTGGGGCAGCTTTGGGGACGGGGGGAAGGTGGCACCGGGGTGGCGCGGGGAGGACGGGCCGGAGGGAGCCTGGGGGGTGCGGGGACCGGGAGAGCGCTGCGGGGACGGGGAGCCGGCGGCGGGGCCGGGAGAGGCGGGGATGTCCTCGGCGGTGCTTTTGACCCGCGGCTCCTTCAGCACCTGCACGTAGGTGGCGGGGAAGATGCCCTGGCGGCTGGTGCCCGAGATCCGCCCCTCGTACCAGTTCTCGTTCACCCGCCGCACCAGGCAGATCCGCTCGCCCTGCCGCGGGAGCAGAGGGCGGGTCAGCACGGAGCGGCACGGAACGGCACGGGATGGACCGGGATGGCCCGGGATGGGCTGGGATGGCCGGGATGGGCGGGATGGCACGGGATGGCCGGGATGGCCGGGGATGGCCCGAGATGGCACGGGATGGCCGGGATGGCACGGGATGGCCGGGATGGCACGGAACGGCACGGGATGGCACGGGATGGCCGGGATGGCCGGGATGGCACGGGATGGCCGGGATGGCCCGGGATGGCCGGGATGGCCGGGATGGCCCGGGATGGCCCGGGATGGCACGGAACGGCCCGGGATGGCCGGGATGGGCGGGATGGCCCGGGATGGCACGGAACGGCACGGGATGGCCGGGATGGCCGGGATGGCCGGGATGGCCGGGATGGCCCGGGATGGCCCGGGATCGCCGGGATGACCCGGGATGGCCGGGATGGCCGGGATGGCACGGGATGGGCAGGATGGCCCGGAACGGCCCGGGATGGGCGGGATGGCCGGGATGGCCCGGGATGGCCGGGATGGCACGGAACGGCCCGGGATGGCCGGGATGGCACGGGATGGCCCGGGATGGGTGGGATGGCCCGGGATGGCCGGGATGGGCCGGGATGGCACGGAACGGCCCGGGATGGCCAGGATGTCACAGCACCGAGCCGCACTACCTTACGAAAGGAGAGCTCCACGTGCAGATCGCCTCGGAAGTTGTAGAGCGCCAGCGCCTCGCCGTATTCCAGCACCTGGAGCGTGGGAGCCTTGATGGGCTTGGGCACCTCCGTGGGGGGCAGGATCTGGGGGGCACACGCGGGTGAGGGGCAGTGCCAGCACCCCCCGGCCCCGCTGTCCCCTCGCAGCCCGCGCTCACCTCCACGTAGTTGGAGGGGAAGATGCCCACGCGGCCGTGGTGCTCCCCCTCCAGCCAGTTCCTGTCCACCTCCTTGTGGATGTAGACGATGTCGCCCTTCTGCAGCGTCAGCTCCCTGCGAGGGACACTGTCACAGCTGCCCGGGGGCACAGAGCCAGCCCGGCTTGGCTGGCAGGGCCACCCCCGTGCTGGGGCTCCCCCAGTCCCCATCTGTCACCCCAGGGCCACGGTGGCACCCCACGAGTGACCCCAGCGCTCACTTGGGAGACTCGGCTTGGAAGTTGAACTTGAGGCGAGCAGCTTTCATCTGGGAGGGAGAGGAGAGGTCACAGGGAGACACCCCCAGTCCCAGCCCCAGCCACCCCAAATCCCACACGGGTGGCACCGTGCCAGCCTCACCTTTTTCTCCTCCCTCTTGACGGCCTCCACGGGGTCCCCCAGGTCTGACAGGCTGGGGAGGGTCCCCGGCCTGAGGGTGTCTGTGGAGAGGGGGATGTCACCAGCTGGGGTGCTCGGGGTGCCCTATGGCAGGGCTTGGGGGGCTCAGGGGGGCTCACCTCTGCCAGGGCTCCGGTCACTGGCCAGCCCCAGCCCACCCCGCTCCATGCTGGGGGTGACAGGGGGGCTCCACAGCCGGTGGGGGGACAGGGGGCTCCTGTGGGGTGACAGGGGGCTCCTGTGGGGTGACAGGGGCTCAGAGCAGGGCTGAGCCTCCTCTCCAGCCCTGCTGCCACAAACCCTCCCTGGGGGAGGGCAGGACCCCCTGTCCCACGGAGCGGGATATCGGGGTCCCGTGAATTGCATGGACCAGCACCCCTGGGTCTCATGGACCAGGACATCAGGAACCCTCAGGACTCCTGTACCCCATGGACCAAACCCCCTGGACCCCTGGGTTCCACAGACCAGCAATTCGGGGTTCTCCAGGACCAGGATCCCTGAATCCATGAACCAGGATATTGGGGTCCCCCAGAACCAGGATCCTTGTGTCCCATGGATGAGGATATCGGGGTCCCCCAGAACCAGGATCCTTTGGTCCCATGGATGAGGATATCGGGGTCCCCCAGAACCAGGACATGGATGAGGATATTGGGGTCCCCCAGAACCAGGATCGTCGGGTCCCATGGATGAGGATGTTGGGGTCCCCCTGAACCAGCACCACGGGATCCCACGGCCCAGAACCACTGGGTACCCCAGTGTGAGGACGCCGGGGTCCCCCAAAACCAGGACCCCCGGCTCTGCTCCCTTCACCCCCCCAGCGGCTCCTCCCAGAGGCAGCCAGGCGGGACAGGTCCGAAGTTTTCCGGCAGCGCGGCCCCGCTGCGGCCGAGCAGGAAGCGCCGGGGAGGGCTAATGAATAACCCGCTCCGGGGGGCACTTAAAGAGCCCAAATGCACCCCCCAAACTGGAGAAGGGGTTGGGGATTGGGGGGGAGCCACCCCCCGTGCGCCCCGGAGGGTTACGGTAGGTCCTAGAAGGGGAGGCGCTTATTTGTTTGTTTGTTTGTTTGTTGTTTGTTTGTTTTCCTCTCGATGCCGCAGCACGGAGGGGTCGGTGGGGACACCCCAGCGCCCCCACCCCTTTCCCGGGGTGCCCAGCCCATCGCGGGGCGCTCCGGGACTCTCGGGGACAGCTGTGGGGACACCGCTGGGAATCCAAGCGCCGTCACCTCCCGTGGGACGGAGCCAAAGGCCGGGACGCGCTGTCCCTGCTCCAGGGACGGGGAAAGGACCGGCCCCGCTCCGCTCCGGTCCCACCCTCCGGGCAGCCCGCCCGGCGCCGCTCCCACCCGTGCCGGGCTGTGGGGGGACCGTGGGGCCACCGCTGCCACGGAGGGGGGGTCCGCGGGGATCCCGTGGGGGATGTCTGGGGACTCCCACCCCGCGGGACGCTGCGGGGACAGCCCACCCGCCACCCCCAGAACGCGCTCCTGACCCTCGCCTGGAGTGGGCACGGGGGGATTTGGGGATTTGGGGGTTTGGGGGCGCGGGGTGGGGGGCGCTGAACTCACCGAGCAGCCGGGGAGGCCGGAGCAGGGGAGCGAGCGGTGGGAGCAGCCGCCGGGCTCTGCCGGGAGGAGCGGAGGGGGTGGGAGAGAAAAATTCATCATGCGGGAGGCCGAGTCTCGGCGGGAAGCGAAGGAGCCCAGCCCGGCTGCGCCAATGGAGCGGCGGCCGGACGGGCGGGAGGCCGGGCTGGGTCCTAGAGCCCCGCGGCCGCGGCTCCAGATGTGCGCGGGGCCAGCCAGGCGGGCACCGAGCTCTGCACGCATCCAGATGTGCGGGCAGCTGGCCCGCGTGTTCACCCGGCCGTGCGGGCATGCAGATGTGCAGGGCTCCAGTCGTGCACACATCCAGTTGTGCACACATCCAGCTGTGCACACATCCAGCTGTGCTGGCATCCAGTTGTGCACACATCCAGTTGTTCACACATCCAATTGTTCACACATCCAGCTGTGCTGGCATCCAGTTGTTCACGCATCCAGCTGTGCACACATCCAGCTGTGCAGGCATCCAGTTGTGCACGCATCCAGCTGTGCAGGCATCCAGTGGTGCACGCATCCAGCCGTGCACACATTCAGCTGTGCAGGCATCCAGTCGTGCACACATCCAGCTGTGCAGGCATCCAGTTGTGTACACATCCAGCTGTGCAGGCATCCAGTGATGCACACATCCAGCTGTGCAGGCATCCAGTTGTGCACACAACCAGTTGTGCTGGCATCCACTTCTGCACACATCCAGTTGTGCACACATCCAGCTGTGTTGGCATCCACTTCTGCACACATCCAGCTGTGCACACATCCAGCCGTGCGTGCACCCAGATGTGCACGCACCCATCCGAGCATTAATCCAGATGTGCACGCCGCATCCGGCCACGCATGCATCCAGCTGTGCATCCCACCACGTGCACGTGCCAGGCTTGCACAAAGGCCGAGCCCACAGCTGGGTGTGCCCACAGCCGGGTGTGCCCACAGCTGGGTGTGCCCACAGCTGGATGTGCCCACAGCTGGATGAGCCCACAGCTGGATGCCTTGCGGGGTCCAAGGGGCAGCAGGAGGGGTCTGCAGTACCTGGCGGGGGTCCCGGCGCGTCTCCATGTCCCTCATGTCCTTGTCCAGCTCGTGGCTGAGCTGCTCCAGCTCCTGCTCCAGCAGCACCTGCGGGGGCAGGACGGGGCTGGCACCGCCCGCGGGCACCGGGACCCGCTGCCACCCCCTGCCACCCCCTGCCACCCCCTGCCCCCCGCCCGCCACCGCCACCGCCGCCTCACCTCGATGGACCGAGCCCGCTCGGGCCGCGCTGCCGCCGGGCTCTGCAAAGGGCACGGGGCCGGTCAGGGTGTGCCCACCGCGGTGCCCACCCCCTCCCCGTGTGCCAGGGCCTGCCCACCTGCTCCCGCGGGGACAAATTCCCTGGTTCGTAGTCGAAAATGCTGCCAGGCTCGGCGGTGGCACCGCCGGCACCCCAGCGGGTCCTGTGGAGGACGGGGAGGGTTCAGCCACCGCTGTCCCCACCCCGTGGGCACCGCGCCCCCGTGCCACGCTCACCAGTCCGTCCCGTTGGGCATCCCGGGGGGCTCCGCTGGGGCCGAGCCCCTCCTCCGCGGCTTGGGGGGCGACGGAGGCGCCGTGGCGGGGCAGGAATGGGTGTCCCAGTCGGGCTCTGAGATGGGGGAGGTGAGCGGGCGCCGAGCCGTGCCCGCTCCGTGCCACACCCGCGTGCCCGGCCTCACCTGGCAGCTTGCGGTGGATCTGCCGGAACATGCTGCGGTACCAGTCTCGGGGGCTGTCGACGCTCTGGGGGGGACAGTTGGGGTGGTGAGGGGGTGACAGCGGGGTGCCACCCCCGCCCTGCGCCCCCACTCACCGAGCGTGAGGCGAGGGGCATCCCCGTCTCGTCCACGGGCCCGATGCCATCGTACTTCACCCAGCGCCTCTCCCGCCGCTTGCTGTCCTTGGTCCAGGTGGCCGAGCAGCCCGGGGGGCACGCGGGGGCAGCCCTGGGGCTGGGTGAGGGGTGGGTGGGCATCGGGGTGCTGGGGGCTTTCGCCTCCTTGGCTGGCCAGGTCTGGTACCACTCGTTCACTGGAGAGAAGGTGGGCACGGCTCAGGTGGGCACGGCTCGGGTGGGCACGGCTCGGGTGGGCACGGCTCGGGGGAGCCCCCAGCGTGTCCCCAGCTTGCTCGGGGCTCTCTGTACCTGAGCTCTCGGGAGCTCCCTGGCTGTTCTCCGGGTCATGGAAGTGGAAGTTGAGGGTGTTGGAGCCGCGGTGGCGGATGACGGGCACCTGTGGCACAGGGAGGGGCTGGCACAAAGGATTGGGGGGTGCAGCCCCCCTGAAGCTCCCAGCGTGTGCCAGCCCCCAGCGCCACTCACCCGTGTCACAGTGCGCTGCGGGGACACCTGCAGAGGTGGGTGGAGGGGGGGAACGTCCCCCACTGCCGTGGCCGGGCTGGGCTCGGGGGGCAGGAGCCGGCCCGCCATGCCCGGGGGCACCGGGGATGGTGCCCGGGGGCTGCCCGTGTGTCGTGGTTTGACACCGTGCCCTGCGGGAAAAGCAGCTGTGCTCACGGGGAGTCCCGTGTCCCGGTTTTCTGGGCATTCCCAGGCTTTGCCAGAGCCATGGGGGCTCGGAGGACCCCCAGCCCCACTGCTGGCAGCGTCCCCCGTTACTCGGAGGCGCAGGAGTGGGTGACAACCGCGGTGGCAGCGTCCCCAGCTCAGGGAGCATCGCGGTGCCAGGGGAAGCTCAGAAGCAGCCCTGGCACGGGTCCCCACCGCTCCGGAGCACCCGGCCCTGCTCCTGCCCGGCTCTGCAGGGATGGATCCTCCTCGGGAAGAACACGCCCGGAGCGGGCCGGGGCGCTGCCCGCTCCGCCCTCCCATCGCCCTGGCACCCCGGGCACTGCCCTCCCGCCCGGGCACGCGGCGGCAGCAGCGTCGCCCGCCCGGGAGCGCTGCCAGGGCCGGGAACACGACAGGGCAGAAATATTTCCCCGCCCTGCAGCGCAAACAAGGAGGGAGAGGGGACGGAGGGACGCGGAGCCGGGAACGAACGCGCGGCCCAGCCCGGCACCGCCCGCCGGGAGGGCGATGCTGTGACTCACCGCGGGCCGGCCGGGGGGCAGCTGGGGGGCACGGGACCCCCGGAGCCCTTCCCGACACCGGGATGGCTCCGGAGGCGAGCGCAGCACCGGGGACTTAGGGGGACACCTGTGCCCTGGCTCGTCCCTTACATTCGGCCCCAGCCCGGCAGCGCCGCTCCCCGGTGCCAGACCCCAAACGGGGCATCCCGGGGGGCTGCCGGGGGGTGCCAGCCCGGCACGGTGCCCTCTGTGTGTGTGGGGGACCCCCAAATCTGTCTGGCGGCCCCCCGGCTCCGCTGGAGGCTCGGCAGCCCCGAGGCTGTAATTAATGTTAATTACCCCCGTGGGGAAACTGAGCATCGGGGAAGGATGTGCCCCGGGGCGCAGAAAGTGGGGTGCAGGCTTCCATCCCCCCAGGGCACCCCAAAAACCTCCACGCCATTCCCAGCGCAGCACCCGCACGGGGCTCGGCCCCATCCTTCTCCTCCTTTCGAGTGCCCCCCAAAACCTGTCCCCGGGGGTCTCCTCGGGGTCTCCCCTCCTCGCCGCCCCCCCCAGCCAGCTCTTACCTCCTGGGCGGTGCCAACGGGGTCCCCGGGAAGCGCCGGGGTTTTGGGGAGCAGCCCCGGGGCGAGCGGGACGGAGCTGCGAGCGGAGGGAGGAAAAACCCACGGCAGGAACTTGGCCGGGAGAAGGAGCGGGGAAGGTCTCAGCGCATCGCGGGGGGCTGAGCCCCCCAGAAATATCCCCCGGGAGCGGCGGGAGGCTCCGTCCTGCCCGGCGCTGGGTCCCCGTGTGCCCCGGCACCCCCGGGGTGCGCTGCCCCCCCAGCGCTCCCCGCTCTGGAGCGGGGCCGCCCATTCAGAGTTTCCAGTGACATTTCCAGGGATGGGATCCAGGGAACGGAGCCAAGGGGCTGAACTCATCCCGCGCCCCGCGCACGCGTTCCCGAGCACCGGCCCCCGCTTACGAAACGGGGCGAGCCCGGCCTCGCCGGCCCCCCGCGCGATAGAGACGGGGGCTCGGGGCGGTTTTTGGGGGAGGATGGGGAGGGAAGTGCCGGCTGGAGGTCGGGTCTGTGCTCCTGCGGACCTGCGAGCGCCGGGATGGGGCCAGGGGGAAACAGAGCCCCCATCCTCATTGCCGCCCTCCATCTCCTCCATCCCTTCAATCTCTCCATCCCGCAGGGATTTGGGCACTGGGGACCCCCATAAACCCCCCCGTGCCCTGCCTGTGCCCCACCTCACCCCCTCCAGAAGGGGATTTAGGGGGGATTTTGGGAAGAGGGTGAGGAAGGAAACGCTGAGAGGTGAGGACCGAAGTGGGGAGTGGGGTCGGCGCTTCTGTGCCCACCCAAGTCCTGGCGTGGGGCACAGAGCAGAGCCCCCATCCCCACTGCGCCCCTCCATCCCCTTCCCCCGCCCATCCCTAAGGAATCCGGGCTCGGGTCCCCCGCGGGACACCGGGGGGACACCGGGACACCCCCGTGCCCTGCCCGGCCCTGCGGGTGCCCCGTGTCCCCCTCGCCCGCAGCACTCACCCGCCGGCCGCTTCCTGCTCCCCTGAACTGCTGACACCCCCAAAACGGCGCTGCCCCAGCCCTTCCTCATCCCGTGAGCGCCCACGTCAGCTCTCGGGGGGATGGTGGCTTCGCTGCCACCCCTCGGTCCCCACCGAGCCACCGCCCTCTGCTGCTGGGGACCAGCGGGGCGATGGCAGCAGCCCCGGCTGGCTGCGGTTCTGCGCCCGGGGGACACCGGGGACACGCACAGGGGACACCGGGGATACGGGGGACACGGGGGACACCGGAGACACAGACAGGGGACACCGGGGACACACTCAGGGGACACCGGGGACACGCACAGGGGACACCGGGGACATGGGGGACACCGGGGGCACACACGGGGGACACCGGGGGCACACACAGGGGACGCGGGGGACACCGAGGATACACACAGGGAACACCGGGGACACACACAAGGGGATACGGGGGATACACACAGGGGACACACACAGGGGACACCGGGGACACACACAAGGGGATACGGGGGATACACACAGGGGACACACACAGGGGACACCGGGGACACACACAGGGGACACAGGGGACACGGGGGACACACACAGGGGACACCGGGGACACAGGGGACACAGGGGACACACACAGAGGGACACGGGGGACACGGGGGACACACTCAGGGGACACGGGGGACACACACGGGGGACACCGGGGACACACTCAGGGGACACACACCGGGGACACACACAGGGGACTCCGGGGACACCGGGGACACACACAGGGGACACACAGAGGGGACACCGGGGACACCGGAGGCACACACAGGGGACACGAGGGACACGGGGGACACAGGGGACAGGCTGTCCTCCCCCCTCCACAGCCCTGGGGGACGCAGCTCCCAGCCCAGTGCCGTAGCAATGAGGGAGCTCCTTGGTGCCAGCTGGGGACGCGGTGGCGAGGCCACAGGCTGGGGACAGGGGCTGATCCTGCTGGAAATGCCCGGGGGTGACAAGGGCAGGGCTGCCAAGGGGTGACCGTCCCTCCAGCCCGACACCCCCCGCCCGAAGCCCCGCTCACCTCCGTGAGCCCGGTGCCCGCGGAGCCTCCGGCCGTGCCTCGGGGCGTCCCTCCCGCGGCTCCCGGCGCCAAGCTCCGCTCACGGGTAAATAAATATTGAACGCGCGGCCCGGCCGGGATGAACAAAGGCCGAGTGTTTCCTGTTTGCTCGGCGCGGCCGTGCCACCCGGGAACGCGCGGCCGGCCCGGGATGCTCCGGGATGCTCCGGGATGCTCCCCATGTCCCCATGTCCCCAATGTCCCCATATCCCCAATGTCCCCATGTCCCCATGTCCCCAATGTCCCCATGTCCCCAATGTCCCCATGTCCCCAATGTCCCCATGTCCCCATGTCCCCAATGTCCCCATGTCCCCAATGTCCCCAATGTCCCCATGTCCCCAATGTCCCCATGTCCCCAATGTGCCCAATGTGCCCATGTCCCTGTACGGGTGCCCCCAATGTCCCCATGTCCCTGTACTGGTGTTCCCATGTCCTCATGTCCCCATGTCCCCACTTCCCCATACTGGTGTCCCCAATGTCCCCATGTCCCCAATGTCCCCAGTGTACCCATGTCCCTGTACTGGTGTCCCCAATGTCCCCATGTCCCCAGTGTCCCCATGTCCCCAATGTTCCCAGTGTTCCCACATCCCCTGTACTGGTGTCCCCATGTCCCCATGTTCCTGTACTGGTATCCCCATGTCCCCAATGTCCCCAATGTCCCCATGTCCCCATGTCCCCAATGTTCCCAGTGTTCCCAGTGTTCCCACATCCCCGTACTGGTGTCCCCAATGTCCCCATGTCCCTGTACTGGTGTCCCCATGTCCCCATGTCCCCAGTGTCCCCATGTCCCCATGTCCCTGTACTGGTGTCCCCATGTCCCTGTACTGGTGTCCCCATGTCCTCATGTCCCCAATGTGCCCATGTCCCCAATGTCCCCATGTCCCTGTACTGGTGTCCCCATGTCCCCATGTCCCTGTACTGGTGTCCCCATGTCCTCATGTCCCCAATGTGCCCATGTCCCCAATGTCCCCATGTCCCTGTACTGGTGTCCCCATGTCCCCATGTCCCCAGTGTCCCCATGTCCCTGTACTGGTATCCCCATGTCCCCAATGTCCCCATGTCCCTGTACTGGTGTCCCCAATGTCCCCATGTCCCTGTACTGGTGTCCCCATGTCCCCAAGGTCCCCATGTCCCTGTATGGTGTCCCCATGTCCCCAATGTGCCCATGTCCCCAATGTCCCCATGTCCCTGTACTGGTGTCCCCATGTCCCCATGTCCCCAGTGTCCCCATGTCCCCATGTCCCTGTACTGGTGTCCCCATGTCCCTGTACTGGTGTCCCCATGTCCTCATGTCCCCAATGTGCCCATGTCCCCAATGTCCCCATGTCCCTGTACGGGTGCCCCCAATGTCCCCATGTCCCTGTACTGGTGCCTAAAACCCCCACAATCCTCCCTTCTGGCAGCCCCTCACCACCCAAAAAAGTCACAGTGGAGCGCGCTGACTGTGTCAATTTTTAACTTTTTTTATCTTTTTTTTCCTCCTTAAAGATGACTCCGATTTACATCGAGACAGTTCTAACAAATTCATTCCTTGTTTCACAAAAAAAAAAAAAAGAAATTATATTAAATAATTTCTGCCAATAAATAACATTTTCACCATTTTTTTTCTCCTTTCAACAGAACTAAAAAAAAAAAAAAAAAAAAAAAAGCAAGAAATAAAAATAAAAATTAAAAAGGAGGCAGTCTCCAGGCAACGGGCGTATGATCCTTTCAGCATCGAGAACCCTAAAATCAGCATCACTGCACCCCTGGAGGGCTTCAGGTCCTCCCTGGCCGAGGTTTGGTGGGATGTGCGTCCCTGCCAGCCCCCCTGGCCAGGCGGGATCTGTGCCAGAGGCAGCCAGAGGGGTTCTCCCAATCCCAAAAAGAAAATGAAGCTTGAACTCAACCCACCACCCGCCCCATTGCCGACTCCCCTCCTTGGACATGCACCTTGCTAGAACATGCAATAAAACCCAGGCTGCGGGAGGTGGGGCTCCCCCTGGATTTGGGGGCTCCCTGGGGTCGGGGGTCCCCCTGGGGCTCCCCTCGATCCCGGTGTCCAAGCTCCAGGTGGCAGCCGGGAGGGGAAGGGACGGGCGGGAGCGCGGAGATGGGGTCAGAGACAAGCCCAGCCCCGAGGCGCTGGATTTGGGGGGAAAAGGGGGAATTTGGGGCGTTTCTGGATTGGTTTTTTATTTTTTGGTTTGGCGTGGTGGGGGCCGGGGCAGGGAATTCTGCTCCGAAGCTGTGGCCAGAAGAGGGGAAGGGGGATTTGGGCTCGGGGCTGTGGCTTCATGGAGAGGGGGCGTTAATTGAGGCGGTAATTAGCACCCAGAGCCCCATCGCTGCTCCTCAGCCCCTCGGGAACTGCTTCAAAGGGAAGAGGGGACCTGGTTGTGTGACACCCACACCTGCCAGTGCCACAGGGACAACTTCCAGCCCTTGGCCACCACCTCTGGGGATGGGGCAACCCCCTTTGGGGCTGGGGCAATCAACTTCCAGTCCTTGGCCACCACCTTTGGGGATGGGGCAATCACCTTTGGGGCTGGGGCAACCAACTTCCAGCCCTTGGCCACCACCTTTGGGGATGGGGCAACCAACATCCAGCCCTTGGCCAACACCTCTAGGGATGGGGCAACCATCTTTGGGGCTGGGGCAACCAACTTCCAGCCCTTGGCCACCCCCTTTGGGGATGGGGCAACCAACATCCAGCCCTTGGCCACCACCTCTGGGGATGGGGCAACCACATTTGGGGATGGGGCAACCAACTTCCAGCCCTTGGCCACCACCTTTGGGGATGGGGCAACCAACTTCCAGCCCTTGGCCACCTCCTCCAGGGCTGGGGCAACCAACTTCCAGCCCTTGGCCACCACCTTTGGGGCTGGGACAACCAACTTCCAGCCCCTGGCCACCTTCTCCAGGGCTGGGCCGCTGGGAAGGTGCAGCCCCACCGGCCTCGGGGGTAAGTAGGGACAAAAACCCCACCCTTGGCCACCTTCTCCAGGGCCAGGACAAGGAACATCCAGCCCTTCTCCAGGGCTGGGACGCTGGGAAGGTGCAGCTCCAGCAGCCCCAAGGATCGGGGGTTGGATCTGAGCCCCCAAAACACGAAGCACAACTCCAAAAGGAATTTGGGGAGGGGGAATCGGTGATGCCAGAGCAGGAGAAGAGGGTGGGGGGACAAACTGCCAACAAAGCAAATCCCCCTCTGTGATGGGCCGGGCCCTGCTGACCCCCCCCCAACGCTGGGAACAGGGGGGGTGCCAGGCTCGGGGTCCCGCAATTCCCATCCCAAATATCCCGACTAAAACCTGGCTGCTTGGGGGAGGTCCCAGCCTGGGTCAGCACAACACGGCCGAACATGCACGGGCAGCCCCGGGCACGGTCTGTGTGCCCGGGTAGCACACAGGAGGCCCTGAAAGGACAAAGAAATACTCACAGACAAAAGGCAATTTGGCCCCACTCCTCGGACTGGGGGGAGAGAAGCTCGCTCCAAACATCTCGCACTTTTCGCAAAGCGGTGGGCGTGTCGAAAAAAAAAAAGGGATCAAAGGGGAAATAAAAAAAAACAACCAAAAAAGAGAAAAAAAATAAAACAAAAAAAGAGGGGAAAGTGGAGGCATGTGACTGAAAAGCGTGGAAACCCAGCGGTCTGCTCATAGAATCCTAAACAGCCCCGTGGGATTAGGTGACGTGTGATGCTCAGACAATCTGAAAGCTCCCTGGGAAGTTGCTGTTTTCCTCTGGCGCTGGAATCGCCGAGGGAAGACGGCAAAATCCAGGGAAAGCCTTGGCAAAGATCCCCTGGGAGAGGCTCAGCCCTGGCCGCGGCTCCCACGGGAGAAGGGGGACAGGGAGAGTGGGAAGGGGCTGCTCCAGGAGCTGCTGCCTCGGCCCCAGGACACGGCCACGGCTCACACGGGGAGGGAATCCCCAAAACCCTTCCCCAGCACTCCCGGGCTAAGGGAGAGAACGCTCCAAAATCCCTGACAACACCCAGGGGATGAACCCTGGCAACCCCCAGGATCCCTGTCCAGAACACCCTCCCAAAATTCCTGCCAGACCCGCTCGCTTCTGCCTTCCAAGCCCTCCCTGCTCCCCAGTCCAGGGGGCTGTCACCAGCACCCAGCCACATCTCCCAAACCCGGCACTGCCCCACCCATCTCATCCCAAATTTTGTCAGCAGCAGGGAAAAGCTCCTCTGGAACAGCCACACACCTGGGGGACAGGGAGGTGGCTCTGGGGGGGGACCACGCTGTCCCCCCACACCCCAAACTGCTCAGCAAGGGCAGATTCCAGAGCTGGGAACAGGGAATGTGCCCTGGGCTGGGCAGCTGCAGGCTCCAGGGTAGAAATCACCCCCTTCTCCTTTAAAACTCAAGCCCTGCAGCTTTCCCAAGGATCATCAGAGATAATTCCTCTGCTCTGACTCAGAGGGATTCCCAAGGGAATTCTGCTGCACAAACTGGCTGCTCCAAGAGGAAGAGCCACGACAAGGGGCAGCACTTCCCCCACCTTCTCCCCGTTTTCCTTTGGGACTCCTTCAGCTTTGGGATGAAGCTGAAATCCTGAAGGACAAGGTGCTGTGACTGGTGTTAACAGCCCTGGAGCCCTTTGGAGCTACCCCTGGCTGTCACCTTGGAAAACAGGGATGGATCCCAGCAATCTGCCTTCCAGGGAATTGCTTGCTAAAGCAGCAGCTGCAGGTAGGCAAAAGGTGGAAGAAAACAACAGGAAAAATCTGGGAAGAAAACAGGTGTGTAAAGGAAAACCAACCCAACCGTATCCTGAAGGGAAGGACCTGCTTTGGAAAGCTCAGGCTAACTCCAAATTGTGCCAAAGCCAACGACCCAAGTTGCCTGGTTTGACTGATTTTTGCTTTTTAATCCAACCCCCTCCGGCAGAGGTTTGACCTCTCAGGGAGGGCAGCTGGACAGCACAACACTCCCGGGATGCTCTAGCAGTTGGATTGGTTTCTAAACCAAAAGGAAAAAAAAAAAAAGGACATTTTTATATATAAACATAAATAAAAAAAAAAATTACAAAATGGTCGCTTTCTTACAGAACGGATGCGGACTGGATTTATGGACGTGCCTCCAGGTGAAGTTGGTTTCTCCCCTTGCCCCCACCCCACCCCGATAATAAATAAATAAAATCCGTGGAGTTTTGGATCCTGTGGCGGCGCAGCTGGCGGCGTTACTGGGGTTTCTTGCCCGTGCCGTTCTTGTCGGCCGAGTTGGAGGTGAGCAGGCTGACGGGGCCGTCCGAGTGCAGCGAATCCTTGCGCGGCGGCATGCGCTCGTTGATGCGGTCCAGCCCCCGCGCCTCCTCGAAGCTGCGGATCTTGTGCTGCGGGGAGAAGCCGCGGATGGCTGCGGAGGGAAGGGAGAACCGTCAGCGCCGGGCCTGGGTGGATCTGCCCCCGAGGAGCCCTCCAGCACACGCCAGACACCAACGGGGACAAGTGGAGGGGATGGGAAGCACCTGTCTGGATTTGGGGATTTTTCACGGAGGTTTGCCACGGCAAAGTTGAGGATTCGCTCTGCTCCCTAAGAGGAGTTTTGTTTTTAGGGAGGTTTAGGATTTGCTCTGCTCCCAAAAAGGAGGGTCTTGTTTTTAGGGATGTTTAGGATTTGTTTGCCCCCTAAGAGGAGTTTTGTTTTTAGGGAGGTTTAGGATTTGCTCTACTTCTTAAGAGGAGTTTTTTTCCTTTTTTTTGTTTTTAGGGAGGTTTAGGATTTGCTCTGCTCCCAAAAAGGAGGGTCTTGTTTTTAGAGAGGTTTAGGATTTGCTTTGCCCCCTAAACCAAGGTTCTTCTTTTTAGGGAGGTTTAGGATTTCATTTGCTCCCTAAGAGGAGTTTTTTTTAGGGAGGTTTAGGATTTGCTCTGCTCCCTAAACCAAGGTTCTTCATTTTAGGGAGGTTTAGGATTTGCTCTACTCCCTAAATTGAGGTTATTTCTTTTAGGGAGATTTAGGATTTCCTTTGCTCCCTAAATTGAGGTTATTTCTTTTAGGGAGATTTAGGATTTCCTTTGCTCCCTAAATTGAGGTTCTTTCTTTTACGGAGGTTTAGGATTTGCTCTGCTCCCTAAAACGAGGTTCTTCTTTTTAGGAATGTTTAGGATTTGCTTTGCCCCCTAATAGGAGGTTCTACTTTTTAGGGAGGTTTAGGATTTGCTCTGCTCCCTAAACTGAGGTTCTTTCTTTTAGGGAGGTTTAGGATTTGCTCTGCTCCCTAAATTGAGGTTCTTTCTTTTAGGGAGGTTTAGGATTTGCTCTGCTCCCTAAAACAAGGTTCTTCTTTTTAGGAATGTTTAGGATTTGCTTTGCCCCATAATAGGAGGTTCTACTTTTTAGGGGAGGTTTAGGATTTACTGTGCTCCCGAAACTGAGGTTCTTCTTTTTAGGGAGGTTTAGGATTGGCTCTGCTCCCTAAGAGGAGTTTTACTTTTTAGGAGAGGTTTAGGATTTACTGTGCTCCCTAAACTGAGGTTTTTCTTTTTAGAGAGGTTGCAGATTTGCTCTGCTCCCCAAGAGCTTTTTATGGAAGCAAGCAATGGTTTGGGTTGAGAGATTAAAATTATCCAGTTCCACTATGCCAGATTCAACCTTGGATACTTCCAGAGATGGGGCAGCCACAGCTTTTCTGGAAATACCATCCCGCCACCCTCACAGGGAAGAATTTCCTCCCAACATCCCAAACCTCCCCCTCTTTTAATAGAATAGGAGGAACTTGATAAACCAGACAAGTGCTTGCTGTCCCCAGAGAGTGAAATCTCAGGAAAATTTCAAAGCTGAAAAACACGACACTAAAAAATAACAATTAAAAAGAAAATTAAAACTAAAAAAAAAAAAAAAAGGCAAAACCCAGAACAACAGAACAAAGACACCACCACAAGGCTCTGAACTCCGACACAAACCACACACTGCAACACCAGGAGAGGGAACAGCTAGTCCTTGGATCACAAAGGCAAAATTCTTGCATGACCAGGAGACACACGGGCAGATTTGGGAGGGATGAATCCCACTGAGGAATTTCATGTCCCTGTTCCATCACCGCGGGGACGAGCACGTCACCCTCGCCCTGATGACACGGACCAAATGTGAAACTCCTTTGTGCTACGGAGAATTTAAGGAAAAGGAGGCTGTGCCAAATCTTTTACAAGGACTTGGCTGGCTCACAAACAACTTCCCTCTGTAGAGCTGCGTGGCCCCGCTCGGCATCGAGGAAAAATCCTCATGGATCTGTCGTTCCTACACCCTACAGGCAGAGAATTGCCTCTCCACCTTGGCCTACCTGTGGGGAAGGCAGGGATTACACCAGCACCACAAAATCCTGTTTTCTGAGGGTTTTGATGATGCTGGCAGATTGCAGGACCTCAAGCCCAAGGTCTGGAGCCTCCGCAGCAGGAACCGCTTTGGCAACTCCAAATTAAGGTGTTCCACTAAGGAACAAACTGTTCAAGCTGAAACAGCCTTGAACCAAACCCCTGGGTATTTTTTCCTTCCCAGCAGGGCCTCGTCCTCCCCCACTTCTGGTGATGCAAGAGTAAAAAGCTTCCGTTAAGGGCTGGTAAAGCTCTTTAAAATGAGCGCACGCACACACGGAGATGATTTGAGTCTCTCGCCGGGTTCTAGCCATACCTTCCCGTGCCTCTACCGCTTCTACTGTGGCTGCAATACAGAAGAACAGTGGCATGCAGAAATGAAGACAGGGAAAAAAAAACAAAAACCAAAAAAACAAACCAAAACAAAACAAAAAACAGAAAAAAAAAAAAAAGAAACAAAAACAGAGTGACAGTGAGTGATCCGACATCATGGCTGCGACGCAGAGCCCGCGGCCCCCCAGCCCCGGTGGTGCCAAACGAGTGGTGAGAGGGCAGAAAAAGGTGACAAGAGGTGGAGAGGAAGGGGGGAAGGGGGGTCCCGAGGGCTCAGGGGGAGTCTCCTTTCCTCTGGATTGATCTGGTGGAAGAACAGAGGAGCAGAGAGTGGGGGGCTTCCTGCTGTGTGCACTGGCCAGGGACAAGTGGGACTGAGCCGTGGATCTGCTCCCGGCTGGGTGGCTCCAGGCCACCTTCAGACGATCAGTTATGGGGAATTCACCCTGCACCACACCAAAGGGATCCCAGGGGATGTTCTGGAGCAGTGGGAAGGAGAGGGGCTGCCTGTTTTCCAGGGAAGGACAAGCAGCAGGTACTGGGCTGCTCCACTCCTGGTGCCTTGAGTTATCAGAGAAAATCAGGCTCCAAATCCAGTTTGGCTTCAGCTCCACCTCCTCAAAGTGTTACCAAGCAACAAGGCACCACAGAGCTGAGCAATGTCCCCCTTCCTAAATCTGCTGCAGCAACATCCAAGGTTTGGTAGGCCCTGTCTCAACATCTGGAAGGACGCCCTTCCCTTGAGCAGATTCTCTGGATTTTAGCCTCAAAACTGCAGTTTCTTTTTCACTTTGGACACAATACAGAGGCCACGTGGTCCTCGGGAGGCCACGGAGGAAGGATGGAGCTGTGGCCGCACAGCTCTGCCCCAGATTCCGTGACTTTGTTCAGCTGATTTTGCCAAGCCCTGCTGCAAAAGGCTGGGGAGAGGCTCAGGAGGGCAGGGCCCCCTCTCACTGCAGCCCTGTGTCCCTTTTTTGAGGTGCACAGGCACCCCAAAAGGGGGGCAGCCCCCCCTCCTCCTCACCCAGCAGATGGGGCTCCCAGAAATTCACCGGGAGCGTGAAGGGATGTGCGAAACGGGAAAGGGTGGGAGGATGGGAAAAGGGGGAAAGAAAAGGGTCAGGACAGGGAAAAGGGGAGTGGGAGAAGGGGGAAGGACAGGGAAAAGGGAGTGGGAGAAGGGGGAAGGATGGGGAAAGGACAGGGAAAAGGGGGAAGGACAGGGAAAGGGGAGTGGGAGAAGGACAGGGAAAGGGGAGTGGGAGAAGGGGGAAGGACAAGGAAAGGGGGCTGAGAGAAAGGGGAAAGGACAGGGAAAAGGGAGTGGGAGAAGGGGGAAGGACAGGGAAAGGACAAGGAAAAGGGAGAAGGACAGGGAAAGGGGAGTGGGAGAAGGACAGGGAAAGGGGAGTGGGAGAAGGACAGGGAAAGGGGAGTGGGAGAAGGGGGAAAGACAGGGAAAATGGGGAGGGAAAAGGGTCAGGACAGGGAAAAGGGAGTGGGAGAAGGGGGAAGGACAGGGAAAATTGAGAGGGAAAAGGGTCAGGACAGGGAAAGGGGAGTGGGAGAAGGAGGAAGGATGGGGAAAGGACAAAGGACAGGGAAAAGGGAGTGGGAGAAAGGGGAAGGACAGGGAAAGGGGAATTGGAGACGGGGGAAGGACAGGGAAAATTGAGAGGGAAAAGGGTCAGGACAGGGAAAGGGGAGTGGGAGAAGGAGGAAGGATGGGGGAAGGACAGGGAAAGGGGGGTGGGAGAAGGGGGAAGGATGGGGGAAAGAAAAGGGAAAAGGGAGTGGGAGAAGGAGCAAGGACAAGGAAAGGGGGCTGAGAGGGGGAAGGACAAGGAAAGGGGGGTGGGAGAAGGACAGGGAAAGGGGAGTGGGAGAAGGGGGAAGGACAGGGAAAAGGGAGTTGGAGAAGGGGGAAGGACAGGGAAAGGGGAGTGGGAGAAGGGGGAAGGACAGGGAAAGGGGGGTGGGAGAAGGGGGAAGGACAGGGAAAGGGGAGTGGGAGAAGGGGGAAGGACAGGGAAAAGGGAGTGGGAGAAGGGGGAAGGACAGGGAAAGGGGGGTGAGGAGGGCAGGAGAAGCCGGGAGTTGCCGAGGGCAGCGGGGGGAGCCTGCAGGCGGCGGGCAGGGCGGGTAAGGCAGCAGCAAAGGCCCAGCTTGTTTGTTCTGTCCTGGGGAGAGGCTTATTTTGGGGGAGGGGAGATCCCTGGTAGCCCTGAGAGAACCCCCTGAGAGGGGGATGTGCTGGAGAACGTCACAGCATGACCCTGTGCTGTCGGGATACAGGGACAGAGCTGCTGCAACAGCCACCTTCCCACTCAGGCTCTGTTCCCAGAACTGGGGCGGCGGGGCTGTGATGGTTTCTATAAAAACAGGGAAAAAAATCCCCATCCTCCTCTGTGGGCAGAGAAATCCGTGAGCTTGGGAGTGATGCTGCATCCTCCCCGGGAGCAGGCAGTGATATTTCCACGTTTCTGACTCGTGAACTAATATTTAATCCAGGCAATCCCCAGCCCAAACCTGGGGAGAGCTGCAGGAAATCCCCGTGTCCATGGGAAGGGGGAAGCTGGGGAGGTGCCAGGCTTCAAAGGCCGATGGCAGGGGAGGATTAAAACACTGGATTACAGGATTCCCTCTGGGCTAGCTCATTCCCTGAGCACCAGCCAGCCTCCTTGCCCTGGGAGTGCAAAGGATCAAATCCTTCGCTCCGTGCTGCTCCTTGAGCTGCTGAGGGAGGCAACAAATTTGAGAAGAAACCTCCACAACTACCTCAAAACCCGAGAGGAGACTGTTCTGAACCACCCAGCCCTGGAGCAACCTCGCTCCTTTGGCTGGACTTTCCTCAGTTTTGGGATTCATGACTTGACAGGGGCAGACCGGGAGGGGTCTGGCTGAACGAAGAACAAACAAGCAGCTGTGTCACTGTCACATTCACACAGAGGCCGTGTCACTGTCACATTCACACAGAGGCTGTCACACAGCAGCAGCACAGCGAGGTGAGGCAGAGGATGCGCGCCATGCAGCGTTAGAAGGGAAATTAAGGATAAAAACTTGTTGCAGAAACAAACAATTAAGCGCTGAACATGCTTTAGGCGGGGTGCTGTGGGTTTTCTTCCTCCAGGGTACACGGGGGACATCTCGGCATCTCTCCACACCCCCAACTACACCTCTGCTCACTCCTGCTGGGGAATCCTTCCTCCCCACGGGCCTGAAGCCTGGCTGGGGTGCCCCTGTGGGAGCTGCTGCAGGGGGTTTGGGGCAGGGGGAGTGCAGGGGCAGGGATACTCACCGGTCTGCAGGGTCTGCCTCCCCCCCGAGAGCACTCCCAGGGGCAGGGTACCTGTGGGGGTCAGGCCTTTGAGGGTCAGCACGCTCTCGCTCTCCTCCCTGCAGGGAAGAGCAGCACCAGTTACACACGGAGCAGGGCAGCACCGGGACTGGTCCGGGCAAGGCTGGGGGGTGTGGTGGGAGCCATGGATCATGAGAATCATGGAGCCATGGGATCATTGAGGCTGGAAAAGACTTCCAAGGTCACCAAGTGCAACTGCCAGTGCAGCAGCACCACTGCTCACATCCCAAAGTGCCACATCCACTGGCTGTTAAACCCCTCAGACACGGGGACTCCACCATTCCAATACTTGGCAACCCCTTCCATGCAGAAATTTCCCCTAATATCCAACCTGAACCTCCCTTGCTGCAGCTTTAGGTCATTTCCTCCCATCTCCCATTTGGGAAAAAAGACCAACCCCTACCTGGCTACAACTTTCTTTCAGGCAAATGTGTCCTGAAAGAGTCAGGAGAAACCACCTGGCTTATGAAGTTTTCCCCTTCTTTTTTTTTCCTGACCAGTGTTCCCCTTCACCCAGTCCCCTAATTAAACTCAGTCCCCAAACTAAGCCCAGAGCCCAAATTAAGACCAGAGCCCAAATTAAGACCAGTCCCCAAAATAAGCCTGGTCCCAAAATTTAGCCCAGTCCCCAGATTAAACTCAGTCCCCAATTTAAACCCAGTCCCCAAACTACATCCAGTCCCCAAATTAAACCCTGTCCCCAAATTAAGCCCAGTCCCCAGATTAAACTCAGTTCCCAAATTAAACTCAGTCCCCAGTTTAAACCCAGAGCCCAAATTAAGCCCAGTCCCCAAAATAAGCCCAGTCCCCAAATTAAACTCAGTCCCCAGTTTAAGCCCAGTCCCCAATTTAAGCCCAGCAACCAAATTAAGCCCAGTGCCCAAATTAAACTCAGTCCCCAGTTTAAACCTAGTCCCCAATTTAAACCCAGTCCCCAAACTATGCCCAGTGCCCAAACTAAATCCAGTTTAAGCCCAGTCCCCAATTCAAGCCCAGTCCCCACTTTAAGCCCAGTCTCCACTTTAAGCCCAGTGCCCCGTTTAAGCCCAGCCCCCAGTTTAAGCCCAGCCCACAGTTTAAGCCCAGTCTCCACTTTAAACCCAGTGTCCACTTTAAGACCAGTCTCCAGTTTAAGCCCAGTCCCCAGTTCAAGCCCAGTCTCCACTTTAAGCCCAGTCTCCACTTTAAGCCCAGTGCCCTGTTTAAGCCCAGTCTCCAGTTTAAGCCCAGCCCCCAGTTCAAGCACAGTCCCCAGTTCAAGCCCAGTCTCCACTTGAAGCCCAGTCTCCACTTTAAGCCCAGTCCCCACTTTAAGCCCAGTCCCCAATTCAAGCCCAGTGCCCCGTTTAAGCCCAGTCTCCACTTTAAGCCCAGTCTGCACTTTAGGCCCAGTGCCCCGTTTAAGCCCGGTCTCTGGCCCATCCTCACCGAAGAACTGAGAAGACCCGTGCCATCTTCCCAATGGCTCTGATCTTATTCCTGATGATCTCCTTACGCACCGTTGTCCCACCTTAGGGAGAGAAAAGAGCAAACAGCAGCGCGCTGGAGCACTCCTGCTCCCCAGGGAAGGCCAGGATGAAGCACCTGCCCGACTCCAGGAAAAGAAATCACGTTTTTTACAGATTGACAGCTACACCGGAGAGAGAACGGAGCTGGAAGGATGGCATCAGGATGGCACCAGGATGGCGGTGAGGAGGGCAACACCCACGAGATGGCACACGGAACTCGAGAGGGCTGCAGAGAGTAGAACCACCACAGGACACGGACTCGGGGACGTCGCGCTGGCGCTGGCCAGCCGGGCCCACGCCGCACGGGATGTGACACGAATGACTCAGCCATGAGGACACGCTTGGCAAGGCAGAGCACGGAGGGGTCTGACGGCTGATGGGCACCGCTTGCGGCACGCAAGCATCAGCTGTGGCATCCGAGGAGCACGGGGAAGGGCTTGGCCCCAGCCTGGCAGCTCTGCTCTGACCCCACACGGACACAACGGGGACAGGGGGGAGCTCCCCTTCCGCTCTACGGACCCAACGGGAGAGAGGAACAACAACAACAACAACAAAAAAGCACAGAGGGAGCTGAAACCAAACGGAAAATTCAGGTCGAAAGAGGGAACAAATCCATCTCCTCTCAGCTGAGATTCCTCACATGGCCCAGTACACATCAGGACAGGGAAGCCAAACCCAGGGCTAACATGCACCATGGCTCAGCCATGCACTACGTGGCTGCATTCAGAATCAGGTAGAAACGTGACCCCCGTTTCTCAAAGTTCCTGGAGGAACGCAGAAGGGTTAAAAAACACATGGAGCTTATGTTAAAACTGAAAGGGGATGAAGAGACTGCCCCACTAGTCAGCTCTGGAAATCCACTTCAAGGATCTGGTGGCACAGGCAGTGATAATTAAGCTCGTAGCAAATTCTAGCTGGGTACCTTTCGGATAGCTTGAAATGTAGTGATCTTCAGGGAGAGGAGACACCAAGAAACAAGTAGATGAAGACAGAGATAGAAGAAACAAATTTAATTTTCATGGGAGGGAGGAAAGAAAAAACCAAAAAAAACCAAAAAACAAAACGGAAATGCAATGGGATAAGCGGGTTAGAGTCTCCACCTGGGGCCGAGGCAGCTCAGGCCCCACTTCTCGCTGCCCCCCTCAGCTTCCTCAGGTCACCACCTCACTCCTGAGTCCCCCCAGAATCCAAACTGCTCATCAGCTCAACCACTGATTTGTCCCCTTCATGCACAGCTTAAAAGCAGGGCCGAAATCAGCGTTTTTGGGGAGGGGGTGACAGGAGAAGCCACTTTACAGAGGAGTTCACTGCAACAGATGAAAAGATTGGGTGGATATTTTGGTGCAGAAATTTTTGAATTGAGGGAAAAAATAACCAGCAGCCTGTGTAAGGAGCAGGAAACCATTCCCAGAGTAGCTGGCAAGAAGTGTCTGTCGCAGTGAATGTCATTTAATTTCTCTGTGACTGAACAGCAAAGGAAGAATAAAAAAAAAAAAAAAACATTCCCTACCCAAAACTGCAAAGGAACTGGAGACCCTGGCTGGGCATCCAGCTATAAATCAAGTGCTGCTCAGGCATGGAAGACCTTGCCCAGCCTTTCCCCCCGATGTTCCCTGGTGCCAGCAGGGATATTTTACCTTCCAACGTCTCGTCGCCATCCGAAATCAGCTCGTCGTCGGAGCAGATGTTGAGGATGTTCACCAGCATCTCGGTGACTGCAAGAGGCACAGACAGCGAGGTCAGAGAGGCCTGGGCATGCAGAGGGGTTTGGAGGACCAGGGAAGGATTTCAAGGTCGTCTGTCCCCTGCAAGTGGGAGCCTAAAGACACTTTTAGGCGCAGGCTGCCGGTACCCGCGGCGGCGCCGGAGCAGACGACACACGGTGCATCTTCTGCCAAGGAGGTGGACGCAGGCCAAGCACATCACAGAGGAACCAGACGTGGGGAAGGAGGTGCCAACATTCCTGCAGAACAGCCTGAGCTCCCTCAAGGTCCCCCCTCCCCATCCTCACCCACGCCACAGCCACCTGGCTCCAAAAAAGGCCGAATTTGGGGAGGGGGGGTTCAACCTTTGGTGCCTCAAAGTCGAGAAACCCTTTGGAAGTGATGAGGGTGAAGCTGCGCCCTGAACATACAAGAATGGGGTGGAATTTAAGCTCATCAGCAGAGGTAAAAATCCTTTTGGTGAAAAACTGAGGCAAAGTCTTGGTCGTATTTTAAGCTGCCTTGCCTTCTTCAGAATGAAATAAGCCTTGGATTGAAGTGAATGCTTCCTTTTTGGTGGGCAAGGAGCCAACAGGAATTTAAAATTCTTCTGCTGCAAACCAAGAGAAACATCTCCAAATTCTGAGGTGGGGCTACAGCACCCAAGATCAGCTCCACCAGCAATGCAGAAAGAGCAAGAAAGGAGTGTTTTATTGGTAAAACAGCTGTTTTTGCACAAATTAAATCCAGTAATGAAGACCTCCTTGAGGGTGAACTGCTCTCCTGTGCTACCTGGAGCTGCAACACTCTCTGAGCACTGTGGGACAGGTTTGTGACACTCAGGACATGAGGAGCAGTCACTGGAGTTTGGAACAGACACCCAAATTTATCTCTCTTACCCTTTTCCCCTACGAAAGGCAAAGACCATGTGAAGACATCCATGAAGTTTGGAAGCCAGTAGGGGTGAGGGGAACAGTTGAACTGCCTGATGTTCATGACGTTGTTTTCGTATTTCAGTACAGCAGCTGGGGGAGAAAAGGGAAAGAGAATAAATATCCATTTATTCCCACTTACAGAACCCTGGGATGGGCTGGATTTGAAGGGATCTTAAAGAACAGCCAGGATCACCCTTGTCATGGGCAGGGACACCTTCCCCTATCCCAGGTTGCTCCAAGCCCCTCCAATCTGGCCTTGGACACTTCCAGGGATTCAGGGGCAGCCACAGCTCTTCTGGGATTTCCATCCCAGCCCCTCACCACCTTCACAGGGAGAAATTCTTCCCCAATATCCCATCCATCCCTGCCCTTTGGCAGTGGGAAGCCAGTCCCTGTGTCCTGTCCCTCCATCCTTTGTCCCAAGTCCCTGTCCAGCTCTCCAGGCTCTGGCAGGGGCTCTTAAAGTCTCGCTGGAGCCTTTTTTCCTTTCACCCCCAGCTCTCCCAGCCTGGCTCCCTCTGGAAGTTTTACCAGTGTTAAAAAACCTTCATTATCAACATCCCGTTTTGTAAAATCAAGCTAACAGCTCTCCAAAACGAGAAGTTTTTTTTAAGCCATGATTTTTTGGTTTACTCAGGTTGGTTCTCAGCTTAGAACAGTGAAGCTCAAACAGAGCCCAGATATGAAGTGAGGGGTGAAAAACCCCACAGCTGGAGAAAATCCCACCAGGATCCCCATGGTTTAGGGGCAGAGGGAAGGGGAAAGCTTTCCTACACCATCAGCTTCTGTGGGATGGCAGCATCCATCAAAAGGGCTCCATTCTCCTGTGGCTGGGAATGAAAGCTTTATTCCAGGCCTTGTGACTCCACAGTTAATTGCCACAGTAACACATTAAGTCAACCACTTCAGCTCAGCACACAAAGCTCTCTTTCATTCCAGGCACAAGAATGCGACTGGAGGAGAGGGTTTTGCATCAAAAAGAGTGTATTTTTTGTATCAAAACCAGCGTGGTGGCAGCTGGAGAAGGGCAGGGATTGTCCCTCTGTGCTGGGCACTGCGGAGGTGCCTCGAGGGCTGTGTCCAGCTCTGGTCCCCACTGAGACATGGAGGGGCTGGAGTGAATCCAGGGCAGGGAACGGAGCTGGGGAAGGGTCAGGAGCAGCAGGAGAGGCTGAGGGAGCTGGGAAGGGGCTGGAGAATTCCTGAGGGAGCTGGGAAGGGGCTGGAGAATTCCTGAGGGAGCTGGGAAGGGGCTGGAGAATCCCTGAGGGAGCTGGGAAGGGGCTGGAGAATCCCTGAGGGAGCTGGGAAGGGGCTGGAGAATTCCTGAGGGAGCTGGGAAGGGGCTGGAGAATCCCTGAGGGAGCTGGGAAGGGGCTCAGCCTGGAGAAAAGGGGGATCAGGGGGACCTTGTGGCTCTGCACAGCTCCTGCCAGGAGGGGACAGCCGGGGGGTCGGGCTCTGCTCCAGGAACAGGGACAGGAGCAGAGGGAACGGCCTCAGGCTGGGCCAGGGCAGGCTCAGGGTGGAACCAGCAGGAATTTCCCCATGGAAAGGGAGCTCAGGCCTTGGGACTGCCCAGGGAGGGTTGGATCCCCATCCTGGAGGTGACACTGAGTGATAAGGTGGGGATCGGGCACAGGTTGGGTGTTGGAGCTCTTTTCCAATTAAATTATCCTGTGATTTTGAGAGAGCAGAGTGGGAGAGGGATTTCCTGACCCTACCCAAGAGCAGCAGAGCCCTGGCCTTACCCTTGTTGTTATAGACATCTAAGTAATTTGGTGCAGAGAAGATTGTGATTAACGAGGGAAAGCCCGTGGTCTGGCTCTTCCTGTACATTCGGTACCTGCAAAACCAAAACAGGGCACGAGTTAAACCTGGCCTGGCCCAGCCCAAACCCTGCCCAGCATCGAGTTAAACCTGGCCTAGCCCAGCCCAAACCCTGCCCAGCTTCGAGTTAAACCTGGCCTGGCCCAGTCCAAACCCTGCTCAGCCCCTGGGCTGCACAGAGTTAAACCTGGCCTGGCCCAGCCCAAACCCTGCCCAGCCCCTGGGCTGCAGCATTTACCCAGAATAGAGTTAAACCTGGCCTAGCCCAGCCCAAACCCTGCCCAGCATCGAGTTAAACCTGGCCTAGCCCAGCCCAAACCCCGCCCAGCCCCTGGGCTGCAGCATTTACTCAGAATAGAGTTAAACCTGGCCTAGCCCAGCCCAAACCCTGCCCAGCATCGAGTTAAACCTGGCCTGGCCCAGCCCAAACCCTGCCCAGCATTGAGTTAAACCTGGCCTGGCCCAGCCCAAACCCTGCCCAGCCCCTGGGCTGCAGCATTTACTCAGAATAGAGTTAAACCTGGCCTAGCCCAGCCCAAACCCTGCTCAGCATCGAGTTAAACCTGGCCTAGCCCAGCCCAAACCCTGCCCAGCATCGAGTTAAACCTGGCCTAGCCCAGCCCAAACCCTGCCCAGCCCCTGGGCTGCACAGAGTTAAACCTGGCCTGGCCCAGCCCAAACCCTGCCCAGCATCACTTACCCAGCATCGAGTTAAACCTGGCCTAGCCCAGCCCAAACCCTGCCCAGCATCACTTACCCAGCATTGAATTAAACCTGGCCTGGCCCAGCCCAAACCCTGCCCAGCATCGAGTTAAACCTGGCCTAGCCCAGCCCAAACCCTGCCCAGCATCACTTACCCAGCATCGAGTTAAACCTGGCCTGGCCCAGCCCAAACCCTGCCCAGCATTGAGTTAAACCTGGCCTAGCCCAGCCCAAACCCTGCCCAGCATCACTTACCCAGCATCAAGTTAAACCTGGCCTAGCCCAGCCCAAACCCTGCCCAGCATTGAGTTAAACCTGGCCTAGCCCAGCCCAAACCCTGCCCAGCATCGAGTTAAACCTGGCCTAGCCCAGTCCAAACCCTGCCCAGCCCCTGGGCTGCAGCATTTACTCAGAATAGAGTTAAACCTGGCCTAGCCCAGCCCAAACCCTGCCCAGCCCCTGGGCTGCAGCACTTACCCAGCGTCCTGGGCTTCGTGAGCTCGGATTACGGATAACAAACTATTGTTCTGCAAAAATTCACACACTGCAGGATAACTGGAAAACAAAAAAGGGAGGAGAACTCAGCTGGGAGCAAAGGAGAGCACAGAGCTCGGGTGGTCTTGGTTTCAGGGAGCAGCCACTTGTAGAAAACAGCCAGTTTTTGTCCAGCACCCCAAAATATGTTTTATTCAAAAATTATTCAAATTATATATTTTTATTCAAAAGTTAATTGCAAAGGTTCTGTTAAACCCTCCCTATAAGCAGACTGTCAGCACAAATCCTTCCTTTTTTTAGCAAGGAAAGATTATTTCTTAGAGATCCAGAAAAACCACTCACAGGGCCAGTCCAAAGAAGCATCTCTGCTGCTCGAGACCCCAGTTCTACAAAGTAACTTATTCAAAGCCAGCTCAAAATTCAAATTTATTCAACGACAGCTCAATATTCAAAGACAACTCAATTATTCAAACTTATCCAAAGACAGATCAATATCCAGAGAAGCAAAAAACAAGAATTTGTGCATTGGAGCCAAGTGAGGAGAATTTCACGTAGACTGCAAAGCCCCAGAGAGTGGCCTGAAAAGTGATTTTAGTGTGAGGGGAGAGAAATGCCCCTTGAAACAGCCCTCACCTGTAGAAATAGGAGCAGCCTCGGACAGTGTTGTGGGCAAAATGCTCCAGGGTTTTCTCGTTGCCGTAATCCTCCGAGGGATCCGACCACAGCAGGTCACACATGGGACCAAAGGCTGGAGGCTCCTTAAACCTGTCTAACTGGAGAGGGGACACAACATCAGCAGGAGGAATGTTTTCAAAGGTTTTCATTTTAGATTTATGTGTGCTTTTCCATTTTTTTTTCCTTTTATAGTAGTAGCAGCTTAATAAAAGTTTTTTTCCCCTTGTTATTAAGTTTCAGCCTCTTTGCTCTGTTCCCATCGCATTTCACAGCATTCAATTGAAAGGTTGCATTTTCATAAGGGCTCTAGCATTGTGCCAGTGTCAAACCAATATACTACAATAACGTGCCAATATCTGTCATCTACACTGAACAGTGTATCCCCAACCTAAACCCAGTCCCAAGTTTATGGTATATAATGTTACAAACATTATATCTGGTACATAATGTTACAAACATTATATACCAGAAACCACCTGTGCTATATTTACAATAATGTGCCAATGTAACATCCCTCAGTGGGATGTTACAAACATTATATACCAGAAATTACATGTACTGTATTTACAATGTATTTTATATATATATATATTTAAATATATATATATTTAAATCTATTTAATATATTACAATAACGTGCCAATATCTGTCACCTACGTTGGACAGTGTGTCCCCAGCCTGAACCAACAGAAAAATGCCAACACCACAGTGAAACATGGAGGGCATGAAGAAGGAGAAAAAGGACAAGGCACACCCAATTTCCTCCATCTTGTCCCCTTTGAACCCCTAATCTAGAATCCTAAAATTTTACTTTTTGCACCCGTGACACACTTAATTATTGCTTATATCAAACACTCAGAGCTGGTAATTGATCCTGTAAGATTGAAAACTCTTTTCCATGGACAGAGATCACAGCCAGTGTCTCTGGGGGCTCTGTCCAGGGGGGTTCCTGACCCCTGCCAGGGTCCCAGGGCAGCCAGAGGGAAGCCCTGGATTCCCACAAACTCCCACCCTTTCCAGCCCCAGACGGAGCTGGGAGAGAAGGAAAAGCTCCTGAAGCTGACTTACTTTCCTAATGTCATCTAGACAGGTGATTTCTGGAGACAGGCCCCCGTGGACACACAGGAATTGCTGGTTGAGGAGGGCAGCCAGGGGAAGACAGTCGAAGGTGTCCATGCACGCGTCGTACACGCGCTCCGAGTACTTGATTCGACCTGCGAGGGAGGAATCCAAAATCCAATCGAGCTCTGATCGCCCCGAGGGCGGATCAATAAACTCCAGGAACCCAATTCCTAAAGGAAGCTCAAAATCAAAATGGCTCACAAATCAAACCTGATTTAGTGAAAAATACTGATTTAGAATGGAACTGCACCCGTGTATTCCTGAAAATACTGATTTAGACTCAAACCCATCTTTTAACTGAAAAAAACCATCTGAAAGGTAAATGATCCTCCCCAGTGCAAAGAGGGAGGAGCAAATCCTTCCCCCATTCCCAGCTCCAGCCACTGATCCCAGCTGCACAGTCTGGAGCTGGAAGGCTTTTGGCACTGATTGCATGCTGCTGGGCCTGGAAGTCAGGGAGGGGAGGATGTGTGTGCCTGGCTCATCAGGGGAGAAGTGTTCCCATTCCTTCCATCCACACTCAGTCTTTGAAACCAAAAGGCCACATTTGGTGCTCAGCAGAACTTAAAGATTTGGGTTTTGGGGTGTTTTTTATAGCAGAAGAGCAGGAAAACAAGACAACAGGTTTTTTTACAGCTCTGATGCCACTCAGAGGCACAAAAGTTGAAGCCCACGCCTTCTCACAACACCTTTTTTTTTAAAAATATATTTTAAAATGTATTATTTAAATGGATTCAACTCCTTCTCCCACTGCTGATACTTACATTCCTGCTTGAAGGTGAAGTATTCTGTGAGGTGCCTGCATTCGTGGTTCCCTCGAAGGAGGAACAACGTTTTGGGATGATTTATCTTTAAACTCCATAAATACAGCACGCACTGCAAGAGAGACAAACAGGGGATGTCATAAAATCCTTTCCCAGGGCACTCATCAGCCTGAGACTGCACTAGGAGGTTCTGGGAAGACTCCCAGAGTGGAACCCAGCTCCATAATGGGCAGTGGATCTTCTCCTGGCCAAGCGGGGCAAAGCCACCGGGATTTCTCTATATTAGGGCTGACTTGGAGAAGTGACAAATGAGGTCGTAGCCAACAGAAAGCAGCTCGGGGCTGGGTGGGGGCAGCTTTGCTTCCAGCACAAACCAAAAGGAAAAAAAAAAACCCTTTTTGCAGAGCAGCAAAGCAGAACCAGCTGTTTGCTCCAGATGTTCCACTGGGATGGAGACCAGCGAGAGGAGCAGGCAGACGTTCGTCCACAAAACACCCGGAAAATTCAACTTCACCTTCCCCACTGATTTCCCCCCTCCCTGTTTTTTCTGCTTACGCTACAGTCATGTGAAATTCGAGCTCAAAACAGGAAAAGCTGAGCCCAAAAAACAAGCTTAGCTTAGCAAAGCTCTCTGGCTTTGAAAAGGGCTTTCCACATCCCCTCTGCGAGCGGCAACACCTGCAACAGCAGCGCCTTTGATGAGGCACAGACCCAAGCCAGGCTGGAACGGGGGTTTGTAGCAGAAATATTTCATGGTGGCTTCCGAAAAAAAGCCTGAGGGAAGGGCTGGGAGGCAGGGAGGGCTCACTGAGCTCGGTGTGAGGAAATGTTATCACATTTCTCTCCTTGCTGTGGAGCGCTGGAAGGACAATCCATAACCCAGCAAGCTCCAGAGCTGGATTAAAATCTCTAAGAGGAGCTTACCCTGGAGGCTGACAGGCTGCAGGACACGCCTGGGAAACAGGAGGCACCACCAAGTCTGTTTTACACCCTCCAAAATTCCCAATCTGGGGCACAGATCCCCGGGAACCAGCTGGAAACAGAACCCAAATGAACCAGTTCCCAGTTGGTTCCCAGCACGGCCAGCTTACATCTGGTGGTGTTCCAGCACTGAACCTGCAAGGTAAGCTCTGCATGAATCATCCCAGCTGATCCCAAAAACCCCAAGGAGCTGGAAAGCCACGCCTGTGTCTCACTTGGAATTCAACCCCACATTAACAAGTTGATTAATTGGGAATTCCAAAAGAGAACGGGGCCAAGGCCAGTAGCAGAACCATGTTTTATTGCATCTGTTACCAGGAGGAATGCTCCCAACAAAACCATTTATAATTATTTTGGGATTTAAAGCTTTAACCTCCCCGTGTTTGCAAGAGAAATGTCAATTTTCTGGGCTGGCAGGAGAACTTTGAGGTTGCTATAAATGAACCAAATGACTTGGGAGGAAGAAGCAGCCCTGGCATCAAAGCAAGGCAGAGATACAGCATCAACAGGGGAAGGTTTGGGATGTAAGGAGGGTTGGCAGCCTGCAGAAGAGAGTTTAAAACACATTTGAAGGGGCTGAAAGCGAAGTGGGGTTGAATTTGGTGTCACAATTTGTCTTGGACATGTCAGGGATGTGGAGAGGCCGTTCCCTGCGGCTGAGGCACTTCCCAAGGATGTGGGGACTGCCAGGTACCAGGAGGACACGGAGTAAAGGACATTGAAGAGCCCTCGAGGGCTCCAGAGGGGCTGCAATGAGGAATGAGGGAATTTCTACACTTGCATGCCTCGGATGCTTCCTGGTGTGTTTTCAGGGATCCCTTTCCCAGCCTTTCCCAGGAACTGATTCCTGCCTGTTTGCAACAGCCAAGGAGCAAATCCAGGCAGTCACAGCTTTTTGGGTTTAAATAATCTTAAATAATCTCCTTCTCTCCTTATTCTGCCTCTTGGTATGAAGCCTAAAGCCAAGGGTTTGATCCACTTGGAAAGGGAAAGCTCAGCAGGACACAGAGAGGGAATTCCAAGAGAAATTTGGTCTTGCAACACCAAAAATCAAGAGGGGCTGGTGCCAAACCTGCCCCCACCACGACCTCTCACCATTCCCAAAACCTGGTATTTGTAATGAAGTTTTACACACGGAGCCCACCAGAGTGGGAACGGAGGCAAAACTCCCAAATCCAGCCCACAAATCCACCTTCACTCCCACTTTACAGGGCTGACTGGATCTCTTTAATATTATTCTGGATAAAAAGTGCATTAAATCAAGATTAACGTATAATTCCATAATTAGATGGCAATCAAATGTCCCATCATAATTGGATTGGTAGAACTGGCCTGGGAAAGGTGCATACCATTATCACACCACTTTTCCTGATAAATTTCCTCTTTCCATGGATTCTGTTCCTGATCATAACAATTCACTTTCTAATTTAACAAAATCATTCTATTCACTGTACTCCAGCTTCGTGGGCCGGGATGATCCTTCCCTACCACCAGCACAGACCCCTCTTGTGCCATTCTGGGATTTGGGACTAAAAGGTGAACAAAAGGAGCATTTTTCCCACTGGGAATCCTTCAGCAGAGTCCTGCCTCATCAGCATCTCCCAATGGGGGGAGTTCATCCCGATTTTTGTGCTGCCTGTCAGCCCTGCACTCTGGAGCTGGGATCTGTGGCCAGCCAGTTTCACTGTCACTGTGAGTTTGGGACAGCAAAGCCTCCCCAGAGTCCCCTTCCAGCAGTTTGGGACAGCAAAGCCTCCCCAGAGTCCCCTTCCAGCAGTTTGGGACAGCAAACCCTCCCCAGAGCCCCCTTCCAGCAGCATTCCAGCTTTCACACAGTTCTCCCCCTCCCCTCCCAATTATTTTCTTAAAAAAAAAAAACCAACAAACCCAAACCATCAACCAATCCACTCTCTGTGGCCTCATTATACTGGGAATTCATGTATTTAAATGAGAATTTCCCTCAGCCAGAGGCACAGCAAGAATTTGTTGAATGATTTGTTGCCGACATCCAGCTGAGCTGATGAGCTCTCAGGCTGGGGAGGGGCTGGGGTTTGAAAGGTTTTGTCTGAGCCACAAATTCCTCCCTGTACCTGGACAGCCAAACACCTGGAGCCACAGGGAACACCTGGAAGGGAAATCTGGCCCTTACACCTCCTTGGCCCCCACTCTGGCATCGTTTCCTGCAATTAAACCATCCCCTCCTGTTTCATTCTGTTAAAAGGTCACGGTTATGGAATTGTGGAATATCCTGAGCTGGAAGGAACCCACAGGGATTCCAGGGCCTGGCTCTGCCCAGGACAGCCCCAGTGCTGGGAGCATCTCATCTCATCGCCAGGCTGCTGCTGCTGCTGCTCCCCACCTTCCCAGAGGTCACAGCACAGGGAAAACCTGGATGCTTTTCCACCTGGGTTACTCCAAACCTGCTGCTGTTTTACTACAGAAAGCAGATTTTGCATGCCCAGCTGGGAATCTCTCCCAGCACAGTGGAAGGGGGAGGCACGTGGGAATGAAAACTTCCAGATTCTGCCTTATCCTGATCTTTGGAGCGTGTTTGCTGTGCCCATCAAAGCCCACCCCGAGCTGTGGGATCAGATCTCCAGGGGCAGTAGGTGGAAGGGAGAGGCACATGGGAATGAAAACTTCCAGATTCTGCCTTATCCTGATCTTTGGAGTGTGTTTGCTGTGCCCATCAAAGCCCACCCCCAGCTGTGGGATCAGAGGGATTCTCCAGGGGGAATCCATGGCATTCCTGCTGCAGCACAGGGGGAAAGGGAAGGAGGAGAGGAAAAAGCAGCAGGAAATAAAAGATAAAACGTATTTTTCGCCACAGCTCAGTTCTCCAAGGCCATACATCGTTTTGGAATTCTTCCATATTATCACAGGCACAGAGGACAAGGGGGGCTTGAATAAGAAGGGGATTTAGATGGGATATTGGGAGGAATTCCTTCCCTGCAAGGATGGGGGTGGCACAGGTTACCCAGAGGAGCTGGGAGAAACTTCCTCATCCCTGGAAGTGTCCAAGGCCAGGCTGGACAGGGCTTGGAGCAACCTGGGATAGTGGAAGGTGTCCCTGCCCAGGGCAGAGGGTGGAACAGGATGGGTTTTAAGGTTCTTTCCAACCCCAACCATTCCATGATTCTGTGAGGATCCCAACATGGAGAGATCAGGGCACTGATCCACAGCTCTTCTGGAGATCTGAGAGTAAAATCTCCACGTCAGATCAATCCTGGGCTAAGAGCAGAGAGTGGCAGCAGCACTTTTCCACCCTGGATCTACACAATCCATAAACAGACACAGGGCCCAACACCTCTCACTTGAAGGCTCAAAAAAAAAAAAAAAATCTGAAAAAAATTCACCTTTTCTTCCAGAAGGAGCTGCTGTTCTGGAATGTAATCCCTTTTCCAGGTGAACACTGCTGAGCAATCCGGAGGAGCAGTGGGATGTGTTCTTCCCCTTCCTCCCTGGGGGGCTCCTCCTGCCAGCACCACCCCAAATCCCCAAATCCCCAAATCCCACCAGCCCCAGCCCCACCTCTGCCTCATCCGGAAGCTGCTCCGCGTCACACCTTGGCTCCCTGTCAGGATTCCAGAGCCTGGGGCTGGAAGGGAGCCAGGGGCTGCTGGAGCTCAAGCTGTCAGCCCTGCTCTCCCTAAATCCTCTGCAGAATCCTTCAAAGAACCCCTTGCACTCATCCCTGACAGCTCCTCCCTAAAAAATTTCACTGGGGAAGTGTGGGTCTCAGATTCAAAGAAAGAAACTGAGAGTTTCTAGCCAGGCAAAAAGCCTGGGAAAGAGCTGGTGAAGAATGTAAATAATTCTTTATCTCTCTTGTTTTTCACATTTTTTATAGTTAAGTTTTATCACTGTGTGTCAAGCACTTTGCACCAATGGCGTGGGTGGTTTTCACTTCAGAACCAATGGATTTGGTCCTCATGGAGCTCTGTATAAGAGTGGTGTATTTTGAATAAACCAGAGTTTTACTCTCACAGCTTTCTGAGTCAAGTCTATTCATTCCCATCCTGCCTCGACAGCAACAGGGAAGATTCCTCAGCTGCTCCTGCAGCCTCTTTTTTCCCAGGAGAAATCGCTCCCTCTGTAATTCCAGCCGATTTCTGCCACACTTCACGCCCCTGTTCCCCCCAAAAACTTTTCCTTACGTTGCTTCCAACTGGGATCAGTGCTCCACTTCCACTGGGCCTGCCTCTGTGAATCCAGATGGCCGCAATCCCTTGGGATTTGTGGCATTTGCTAAGAGCTGTCCCTTCCTGTCCCATCCCAGGGCTCCACTCAATCCTTTGTCCTCCCAATTCCGTGGGCTTGGGATGCCAGGGAGCTGCAAAAGTGACCCCTGCTCCTCTCTCCCAACCCCATTCCAGGGTTTTCAGAGGGACGTGGCCCTTTCTCCTCCTGCTCCATCCCAAATCCTGCAGCTTTTCCAGCGTTTTAAATGGTGGGATCCTGTTGCCTGCAACAGCACCATTGGCTGTCCCTCTTCTGTCCCCGAGGGACAGCTCCAAGTGACATTAAAACCCCCCCAGCAGGCAGAGGTTTGGCATTAATCCCATCTCTGCCACTTCACCCTCACTGCACGAGGATCCAAAGGTTGGGACATCATTCTCCTGCCCAAAAATCGCACTGTGAGTTACCTCCATGCCATGCAGAACTCCCCTGCAGGGTAAATCCAGCATGAGAGAGCTGGGCTTGGTGTTCGGGCTGATTCCGAGCTGGATTTGAACTCGTTCTGGGCTGTATTTAACTGATTTTGAGCTGGTTTTAACTGATTTTAGCTGCATTTTACTGAGCTGCATTTGAACTGATTCTAAATTGAATTTTACTGATTCTGAGCTGAATTTGAACTCCTTCTGGGCTGTATTTTACTGATTTTGAGCTGGTTTTAACTGATTTTAGCTGCATTTGAACTCATTCTGTTTACTGATTTTGAGCTGCATTTTACTGATTCTGAGGTGTATTTTATTGAGCTACATTTGAACTTATTCTAAATTGAATTTTACTGATTCTGAGATGAATTTGAACTCATTCTGGGCGGTATTTAAGTGATTTTGAGCTGGTTTTAACTGATTTTAGCTGCATTTTACTGAGTTGCATTTGAACTGATTCTGAATTGAATTTTACTGATTTGGAGCCATATTTTACTGATTCTGAGCTGCATTTTTCTGATTCTGAGCTGAATTTGAACTTATTCTGAGCGGCATTTAACTGATTTTGAGCTGGTTCTAACTGATTTTAGCTGCATTTTACTGATTCTGAGCTGAATTTGAACTGATTTTGAGCTGGTTTTAACTGATTTTAGCTGCATTTTACTGAGCTGCATTTGAACTGATTCTGAATTGAATTTTACTAATTCTGTGCTGCGTTTAACTGATTTTGAGTTGCATTTTAACTATTCTGAGCTGAATTTGAACTGATTCTGAGTTGTGTTCAACTGATTCTGAGCTGCGTTTTTCTGATTCTGAGCTGAATTTGAACTGATTTTAGCTGCATTTTACTGAGCTGCATTTGAACTGATTCTGAATTGAACTTTACTGATTCTGAATTGAATTTTACTGATTCTGAGCTGCATTCTTCTGACTCTGAGCTGCATTTTTCTGACTCTGAGCTGCATTTTTCTGATTCTGAGCTGAATTTGAACTGATTCTGAGCTGAATTTGAACTGATTCTGGGCTGTATTTGAACTGATTTTGAGCTGGTTTTAACTGATTTTAGCTGCATTTTACTAAGCTGTATTTGAACTGATTCTGAGGTGTATTTTACTGATTTGGAGCCACATTTTACTGATTCTGAGTTGCATTTGAACTGATTCTGAGTTGTGTTTAACTGATTCTGAGCTGCATTTTACTGAGCTGCATTTGAACTGATTCTGAATTGAACTTTACTGATTCTGAATTGAATTTTACTGACTCTGAGCTGCATTTTTCTGACTCTGAGCTGCATTTTTCTGACTCTGAGCTGCATTTGAACTGATTCCAAGCTGCATTCGAACTGAGGTCCAACACTTTGGGTTCCTTTAGCCCCAGCACCCCCAAGCTCCACTCCCTCGGTCACCTCTATACTGAAGTAGCCTCTGTCCACGTAGTCCCCCAGGAAGAGGTAGCGGGTGTTATTGGGTGATCCTCCCACTTCAAACAGCTTCATCAGGTCAAAGAACTGCCCGTGGATGTCACCACACACTGGGGGAGGAAGAACAACGCAAAAGAGGGACAGAATTACCATGCTAAGAAAAGCAAGGTCACGACAGCAGCAGCGAGGAGCAGAGCAGAGAGGGCAAAACCCTCTGTCCTGAGAGCTCAGCAGAGTTAAAAAACCTTGTGGGTGGAAGGAAAAAAAACAACAACAAAACCTGCTGGGGTTATCCAGGTTGTTATTCAGAATTCCTGACCTGTGATTGGAGCCTCCACCTCGATCATGGTCTTCTCGTGCCTCAGGATGGCGGCGCCGTCGTTGATGATTTTCAGCGCCGCGTCCTCCTCCAGCCGCCCTTCCTTCACCAAGTGGCTCTTGAGGACGTCGAGCCTGGGTTTCCCATCCTCAAACACCTCCTTCAGAGTGAGCCTCTGCGTGGGAGGGAATGGGACAGCTGGAAAGGCAAGGGAAGGGAAGGAGTCAGCAACTCGGAGCTGTTCGGGGGAGAGGGAACGGCAGGATTTGCTTCCGAGCCTGGAGCTGACACCCAGGAATGGAATTCCCACCGAAATGACGCTCCCAAATAGCGAGAGAAGAGCTGAGCTGCCAGAGCTGCTGGATTCACCCCTCAGCTTGGTTAAAATCCCTCTTGGTGCAGCCTAAAGGCCGCCCGTACCTGTGCTAGAGCTGCCTCCCAATCCCGAGGGGACAGTCGGTGCTGGAAGCTAGAACAGATTCCATGGAAAATCAGCAAAACCAGGAAAAGCAGGAACCAGCGAGCCAGGTAGGAGGAACAATGTGTAACATTTTTCCTTATCAGGAAACCACATGCCCCTAAAAAGCACAATTTGCTCTTCTTCACCCCAATACCTCAAAAAGCTTCACCCCAAAAAGAATTTGCTCCTCTCTGCTCGTAAAAACCAGAATTTGCTCTTCTTCACCCCAATACCTCAAAAAGTTTCACCCCAAAAAGAAGAATTTGCTCCTCTCTGCCCCCAAAAACCACAATTTGCTCCTCTCTGCCCTAAAAAGCACAATTTGCTGTTCTTCACCCCAATACATCAAAAAGCTTCACCCCCAAAAGAAGAATTTGCTCCTCTCTGCCCCGAAAAAGCAGAATTTGCTCTTCTTTGCCCCAATACCTCAAAAAGCTTCACCCCCAAAAAGCAGAATTTGCTCCTTTCTGCCCCAAAAAAGTAGAATTTGCTGTTCTTCACTCCAATACCTCAAAAAGCTTCACCCCCAAAAAGAAGAATTTGCTCCTCTCTGCTCCTAAAAACCAGAATTTGTTCTTCACCCCAATACTTCAAAAAGCTTCACCCCAAAAAGAAGAATTTGCTCCTTTCTGCCCCAAAAAAGCAGAATTTGCTCTTCTTCACCCCAATACCTCAAAAAGCTTCACCCCAAAAAGAAGAATTTGCTCCTCTCTGCTCCTAAAAAACAGAATTTGTTTTTCACCCCAATACTTCAAAAAGCTTCACCCCAAAAAGCAGAATTTGCTCCTTTCTGCCCCAAAAAAGCACAATTTGCTCTTCTTCACCCCAATACGTCAAAAAGCTTCACCCTCAAAAAGAAGAATTTGCTCCTCTCTGCCCCAATACCCCAAAAACTTCACTCCAAGCTGAGAATTTGGAAATCTTGATGGAATCCAATATTTAAGGTAAGTTAAGGCCTCAGCTATTTGCAGCACGTTCCTTAGTTTTTAACTCTGGATGGACAACACCCCATCAAAACCTGCTACTATTGTTATTATTGTTATTGTTATTGTTATTGTTATTGTTATTGATATTATTGTTGTTATTATTATTATTACTATTATTATTGTTATTGTTATTACTATTACTATTATTATCATCATCATCATTTCATGGTAGGGAATAGGATGGTGTGGAAGAAGATGACCTCCAACAGAAATGAAGCAAAAAAAAAAAAAAGCAGAACAAAAATCAAACTTTTCAGTAAAAATCTGAATTCCTCATTTCCCTTCTCCCAGGCCTGGCTAATTTAAAAAAGATGGGCGCATGCATGACCCTGGTGTGATATTTAATGGCTTTACAGTGTCTTGAATTAAAATTAATTCCAGGAAGGAGGCCTGGATGTTTGGGAAGGACTGGGAATAAAACCTTGTGCAACAGCCCCAAGTGCATGGCCTGGCTGCCAGCAACTCCTGTGAGCCATGGAGTGATGGGAATCTTATCCAAGGGATCCTCTCAGATCCCCCATTTCCTCCAAAAATCAGAAAAATCAGGATTTCCTCACCCTCTGGGCTCAGCATCCCCCGGCCATGGCAGGGCCACAACGAGTCCAGCTGCAGCTGGGATGAGGAGGAGATGCTGGGATGGGGTTTCCTTTGGGATGCTGCACCCAGAGCGACAAAAACAGCCTCAAATCCCAGTGCAGATCCCACAGGGAGCTGGCACCACCCTCCCAGCCTCGGGGAGGAGGCACAAACCTCCCCCAAAAAGCGCTGGAAGTTCTACAGTCTGTAGGGATGCGGGCAGCTGGACAGAGCATCTCACCCTTACCGGGTATCCCACAAAATATCCCAAAATCTGGAACGCAGCAGGACTTTCACGGGGATTTTAGGGGTGGTGGTGCCAGTCTGTGTCTGAGTAAGCACCTCCAAAAGTCTCTGTGAGCAAGGAATGCACCCACTGCATCGTGAACCATCTTTCCATCCTTCTGCTTCTCCTGGGAGCGTGTGGTGGTGCGAGCAGAGAAACAGAAACCGTTCACCTCCAATCCCCCAGTGTCGGAATCTGTGGGTATTGGTGATTCCGAGATTGTAGAAAGTCTCTGTCTTTCTGCCCCGTTGCCAAAGAAGAAGCCATAGTTCGTCTGTGCTGTTTCAAGGTTGTTTATTTTTGCTCATCTATAACAAGTTCTGCTGCCCTGCCGCAGCTCTGTCCTGCAGGGCAGCGTGTGGGGCTCTGCCCCTCAGTGGGATGGTACAAACATTATATACCAGAAATTACGTGTACTATATTTACAATAATGTGCCAATATCTATCATCTACGTTGAATAGTGTGTCCCCAGCCTAAACCAATAGAAAAATGCCAACATCACCAAGAACATGGAGGTAAGGAAGAAGAAGGAGGAAGAACAGGATCAGGCCCACTTTCCTCCATCTTAGAACTCCTGACCCCCCTGTACAAAGTAAAACCCCCCTGTACAGGTGTTAAAACCCCCCTGTACAATACAAAAAAATTTTACCCTCTAATTTGTGACTACTTTTACTATACCATCTAACCCTCTGTGACCGCTTGTTCCACCTTTAAAGTTGGTAATTCATTCCATGGTTCAAACTCAAGATCACAGCTGTTTTCAGCTGCTTGCCAGGGTCTAAAATGCTTCTGACCAAGGCCTGGAACCTCTAAAAATGTCTGAGGGACATTTTGAGTTCCGACACCCCAGCACAGCACTCCAGGCACTGCCAACACCTCTGGAGCCACACCGAGGAGCTGAGAAGCCCCAGAAGTGGGGTTGGAGAGCTCAGCAAAGATGGGATGTGACCCCAGGACAGAGAGATCCACGGGAAGCTCCTGGCTCTGCCTTTTCCTGGTAAGCAAAGTTATGCAAGATCAAATCTGAGGCTCCAGCCAAGAACTTTTATGTAAGTTCCCTCCTTGGCTTTGCACAGCTCCACTCCCACGAGGAGCTGGGCACGACCAGGAACCGGCTCCTCCTTGGCTCTGCCAGGGTTTCAGCCACCCCACTTTAATTAAATGTTTTAATTTGATCCTTATCCATGCTCCTTTCTCTTGGACAGGAGGAAGAGGATGCTCCTGCAGCCAGGCTGGGCTCTCCAGCAGCAGGAACAGCCCTCAGAGCAAACTGACCTGGAATTTTGTACCTCCAGGGCATGGAGAAGGGTGGAGAGACTCACCCAGTTCCTGCTCATATCTGCAAAATGAGGAGATAACTCCTTATCTCACCAACAACAACAACAAAAGAAAAAATCAGAATAGTCGAATGGCTTGGGATTATTATTATTATTATTATTATTATTATTATTATTATTATTATTATTATTATTATCATCCACTACCCCAGGTTGCTCCAAGCCCTGTCCAGCTTTCCAGGGACACTTCCAGGGATCCAGAGCAGCCACAGCTTCTCTGGGAATTCCATCCCAGCCCCTCCCCACCCTCACAGAGAAGAATTCCTTCTCCCATTCCACCCTAAATTTCCCATCTTTCAGCTCAAATCCCTTGCTCCCATGGTTTGTCCTGGAATGCCCAGGCAGCACAGACACAGTGGGTTAAGCTCGTCCTCACAGCCACCTCGCAAATAATTAATGAAAATTATGGATAAACCACTCAAAACATTCCAAGAATTAAACCCTGTGACCTCTGTGCCACCTTCCCTCCGCACACAAACCCCAGTGTTGCACCCAGCCTTGTTTGAACGGTGAAATCCGCAGGTTTTTGGGGTTTAGAATTCTACAAAGGGCATCCAACCCACCGCCAGGAAAAGGCAATTCCTGCTCCACCAACAGGACACGTGCTGAGGAACAATCCACATCAAAAGGACACAAAAGCAAGCAAAGTCTGAGGTGTGAAATGGATTAAAAGGTCGGGTGAACCCAAGGGAAAATGAAAAGGAAATTAAAAGGTAAATCCAAGGGATCTCTTTGCTGGACTCCAGGGCAAAATTCCACTTCCCACCAAATCAACATGGATTTTATTTGCCAGGCCAGAGCAAGGGGATATTTGCAACACTCTGAGCGGACATGGATAGTTAAGGATGGGAGAATTTGGGAAAAAGCTGCTTTTCCACCACCAGCAGTACTCATCCCTCAGTGCCAGATGAAAATCCCACAGGAAAATATCCCATTCCTCCCTACCTCTGTCCTTAAAATGCACTTAAAATTCAGTTCCATCAGGGCTGCCCCATCCCCACCTCCAGAAGAGAAAACAGAGTGATCCACAAATGATTGTTTATAAATCCCAGAGTCCCTTGGATGGCTGGACGGAGCAGCTGAGGCGGATTCATTACTGAAAAAGGAGCAGCAGCTCCGTGCCTGGAGAGGCAGCGCTGGCCAAACGCTGCTCCCGGGGTCTGCAGGAAAAGGGATCCCCTCAATCCCCCCCAAAATATCCCCCAGGATTGGAAATTCAGAAAATCCAACTCCAGAGAGGTTTCCCTGCAGCTCCCCATGCACATCTGGGAGCGGATCCAAGCAAAGCCCCTTCCCTGCTTGCTCCTCAGCACACAGCAGATGGTGAGAGGTGCACTTTGCAGCAAAAAAACCAAAAAAATCACCACATTTTGGGGTAAAACCGAGGATTTGGACACTGAGGAAGCCAGATGGGCTGGCAAAGGCAGAAACATTCCCAGGGAAAGTCCACCAGGAGCCACCCAAAGCCCTGTGAAAGGGAGAAGCAGCTGCCTCCAGGGCTGAGCTGGGCACAGCACGAGCAGCAGGGCAGGGATTTTTTTTCCTCTTTCCC